TCTTCTCTCTCGCTCTCTCTCTCTCTATCTTCTCTCTTCTCTCTCTCTCTTCTCTCTCTCTCTCTATCTATCTCTCTCTCTCTCTCTCTCTCTCTCCTCTCTCTCTCCTCTCTCCTCTCCTCTCTCTCTCTCTCTCTCTCTCTACTCTCTCTCTCTCTCTCTCTCTCTCTCTCTCTCTCTTTCTCTCCCTCTTTTCTCTCTGTTTCTCCTTCCTTTCGTCATTATATTCTTGTATTTGTTCCTGAATTTTCTCCTTTTATTTCTTCCCTCGTCCCCACTCTTTCCTTCCTTTCCTTTCTTGGTCTTCCTTATCTGTTATTCACATCCTTACCGTTGTCCATTCTCTGCTGTTTATCTCTGTCCCCCTCTTCCCTCTTTACCTTCTTTTATCGTTTGTTCTCCCTTTGGCGCCTCCATTCTTTTGTCTTCAGTTCTTTCTTTCTGCTTGGATTTCCGCCTTTCTTTCGTTGTGGTCTCAGAAGCAGCTAATTCCGTAGCATTATTCATCTGAAAAATTCTGCTGCTCTAAGGTGTTTACTAACGGCGTAACCCTGTGCGCCCAGGCAGACCGTTTCCGATGGCATCGGCACACCATGTGAGAGTCAGACCGTCCCACATGGGCACGCCATGTGACGCTGGAGCGTTATCGGTATCACGTGACCGTCGGTCCTCGTCCGCGGGCGGTGAATCTGAATCTCCCCCCGCTTCAGAAGCGGGAGCTGAACCTTCGTTCCATCGCACCGCTGGGTGCTCCAACCCCTGCATACGCCATGGTGGATGCCTCCAACCCCCGCATGCCTCATGCCGCATGCCTCCAACCTCCTCATGCCTCATGCCGCATGCCTCATGCACGCAATTTTGCCAGACGTTACTAGCCGGTAACTGATGCTAACGGATGGTAACGGATGGTAACGGACTTACCCTCGTTACCGATCGGACCATCGAAGCGGGTATGAGCCACGAGGACATTTCCCGTCGCTATGATAATGAGCTTTTTCCACGCCACAGTACATGCATACTTGATAGGTGCTACGTCGAAGCCAGTCGGTCTTTTTCGCCCATGCATGACACCCAGACGTTTTCCACACTCGGTGACCTTTGAAGGGTCGAATGATCCGTGAAGTGGAAGGACCCGAGTACTAATCCGTTCCGCCTTTCCGCGTGTCCGACCCGGGCGCAGGCGCTCATATCTCACATCTTACAGCTCACATCTCACGACTCTTACAGCTGAAAACTCTCAGCTTATTACAGCTAACAGCTCAAAACTCCCAGCTTATTACAGCTCACAGCTCCCACAGCTCACATCTCACAGCTCGCCTCTCACAGCCCACAGCTCACAGCTCACATCTCACAGCTCACAGCTCACAGCTCACAGCTCTTACATCTCCAGTTGAACTGACACGTATTCAGAGTGTTCGCAGTAGCTCCGTTCGCATCGCGGGTAACTCCTCACACTTGAAAGTGTAATCGGGTGATGTGGCCTATGGCTCAATGCCTGCTACGCCAAGAGTTTGGCAAAAACTGACGTTGCAGAGCCAGGTGTTCATGATGTTCCAGCAAGTCGCACAGGGCTAGGTGTTTCTGACGCCTTCCGCGTTATTGAGCGCCACCGCCACAGGACATAGGCGTGCTTGTGACGAGGAGCCGGCGGTGGAGGGGCTCGTCCAGCATGGAGCAGCAGAACAGACGAGCTGCGCTCAAAACTGTTGGGAAAACGTTGCATGCATGTGCGCCGGCTGCATCACGCCGCCTAAGCATACTTGTGATGTTTGAAACAGGGTACCTCTTCGACGTCACGAGCAGATTAGTATTATTATCATATCTTAAGTAGTGCAGTAGTGATATTCTATGACATCATGGTAGTAGTATTTTAAAGTAGTTTCAAGTTTAAAGTAGTTAGTAAAGTGGTTTAAAGTAGTTAGGAAAGTAGTTTAAAGTAGTTCTAGTAGTAGTATTTTTAAGTTAGTAGTTTAAAGTAGTTACTAGTTTCATAGCAAGTATGGTGTTAGTTTTCTTCTTAAGCAGTGCCATGGACTGCGTGAACTCACCATGCCTCCTAGCAACAGGCGTCAGACGCTAAGCTCCATGCCAAGGCTGGAGCCCCACTGCGATGAAAACATGACAACGATTGTGAATGTCAGCTCGGGCTTAATCCTAATGTGGCGTAGTGCCAGCCTCCACCTAATGGTTGATCTAGCAACCATCCAATTCGTGATTTGAGAGCCTCTCAGCAGGCTGGTCTTGCTCTCGCTCGATTGAGTACCACTGGCGGCCGGTCGACTTTCCGTCACGATCAAATTCCCAAGCCAGTCGGATAGCTTGGGCATGCAGCGCCGCAGTGGTTCGGTGTACTACGGCACAGCATGCCCGGCGCTGGCCAGGCGGCTGCGGCAGCGAGCTATCGCCCGCTCGGCCGTTGACGTCTCCCGATCCAATCGGCCCGTGACGTCAGCGTTCGGCCATCAGCTGACTGTGCCAGGCACCTCTCCCCGTTAGCGTGCGTCCCAGGCCGTTATGAACGCGGCCCTCGACCGTCGGCGCTGCATGGCGCGGGCCCGTCGTCGCGCCGTGTACCGTTTTCATCAGCGGATACAAACAAAACATGGCGGGCGCGGCGGCACGCGCCAGCGAGAATGCATCGCGCACCTCCGCCGCGGAGATCGCCGCTAACGGGACGCGCCGGCCGTTGCCACGCGCGGCCGCCAGAGGCGGCAGACCGCCGCGCCCCAAGCCAGAGCGTGTGAGCTGGGCCGCGAAATGGTGGCGCCATGTCGGGCGAATGACCCAAGCCAAAGGCGCGATAATGCGCGTGAATAATGGCAACGGCGTGTCGTCCCGGGACTCCCTGGCGGCGAGCGACGGGTGGACAGAAGCTCCCAGCTCAGATATAAAGCTGCGGCTGGAATTTGTGGGGTGACTGCTCCCGCTCCCTGACAAGACTGTCTGAGCGAAAACGACAGCTGCGCCGTGCGCGGCGGTCAGAGAAGCGATTAGTGACCAGCCGGAGCTAAACATAGCTATGAGACCCGCCTTCAGGCTTAGAGAGAGCGGTTAACTTATAGGGATTTGCAGGTGCAGGCCAAGGTTTTTGTGCACGGGCCGGAACTAATAATATTTACAGTCGCCGAATAGTCGTTTCGACATGCCTGCCAAAAGGTGCCAAGTTCCCGCAGGTTGATTGCAGTATGTCTGTATGATTGCAGATTGCAGTATGTCTGTCGTCCTCTGCTGCTATCCTGTCTTTGACTCGGCCTCCCTGGTTACGGCAGTTGTCACTTGGCGTTTTGTGATGATGATGATGGAGTCCGTTCTTAGCGGGTGATGACCGTTGTGATGGCGCGGGTGATGGTAATGATGACGTCTGTTGCAGATGGGTGGTTATGATAATAATGATGACGTCTGTTGCAGATGGGTGGTTATGATAATAATGATGACGTCTGTTGCAGATGGGTGGTCAGATGCAGGGTTACGGAAGTCAGTACGGCGGCATGCAGCGGCCGATGGTGAACCAGAACATGATGAGCATGAACGGCATGAACAACATGGCCAACATGGGCCACATGAACGGCATGGGCCACGCCGGGCCGATGGGCCAAGGCATGCAGGGCAAGATGGGCATGCAAATGCAGGTGAGCTCATGTGAACAGGATTTCATCACAATCACCGTCAGGATTCTGTGGTCGTTTTAGCGGACGGGAAATGCCCTCAAACCGGGAATAAAGGGTGCATTGTGGGCAGATGATCAGATTTTGAGCAGCTCTGTGTCTTCCCCCTCTCGAAATATTTAGCCTGCGGTCGAGCAATTGGCCCGAACGTTTTTGAACTTATGGCTGTTAACGCACTTACGCATAGAGCATTATTGTGCAGACACACCGTCACGGAACCCGAGCTTGCCACACATTGCTGGTGTCATGTGGCTTGTTGCCGGTATTCGTCGCTGTGCCCCAGAGCGTGACCCTCTCGCGGTGTCCGCTCTCACCGTCACCCGTTCTGACCCCACCCCTCCCCCCGCGCGGCAGCACCAGCCGGGCATGCCGCCGCAGGGCGTCTACATGCGCGGGATGTCGCCGACGCTGCTGGGGCCGGGCGGCGCGGGCCCGGCCGGCCAGCCGGGCCGCGCCGCCCCCTACCCCAGCCCGGCCATGCACCTGGCGCAGAAGCGGGCCCAGTTCCCGGCCGGCGTGGCCCCGCAGGTTGGTCACGAGCGGCCTCCATGGCTCTATCAGGGGCGATATCAGGGGCGATATCAGGGGCGATATCAGGTGCGCTAGAAGGCTTCCGAGGTGCGGTTCGCATGGTGTCTTCCTTTTTGTCAATCGGCTGCTTCTTACGATGCAATGCTTGTGGCCGGCGATGTTTTCAGTGCCGTGGCGCGCCGTCTTTTTCAGCTCGTTGTTAAGGGAAGTGTTCTTGCGCCCCATCTTGCGTGATCATTAGGTGCAGTGCACAGCCCCGCCTTCTTAAATCCGAAAACCTCCTAAATTCTGGGCTACACGCCCGCGAATATGGGGAGACTTTTTCGGGAGAAGTATTTCAGAGCCACAATGGCATGAATGGCTCCACAATGACGTCATTTAAATACTGAAATTCCAGAAACCATGCGGCGACGCAGACCAACAAAAATTGTAATGGCTGAGTCGTTCAAATCTGGCGCTCGTGAGCACGATGTCCAGATGTAGCGGCCGTCGATTGGCTCTCAGTGTTGCACAAAGGTGCGGTGACGCAATCAAACAATGACGTATCCAGGAGCATATTCACTAAACAGAGAAATTGTGTTGTCTTAAGCAGTCTTTTCTGCTTAAAAGCATAGCAGTAATTATAAGTGGGCTTGTGTCATCATACCTGATCCTCGCTTCAATATCTCCAAATGTGAAACACTACCTTTAAACCTTTAAGGCGTATACATGGTTTCCTCGTCTCTCATAGCGCTAATATGGAAGCCTCGCTGAATTATTAGAGCATTAGAACGCCTGAAAACTAGGATAACATCTAGATCAGAAAAGATGTTCAAGCGATCTACGAATATAGCGACATAATTTTTATATGGGCCGCTGCTCCAACATGGAGCTAATGCAAGGCCGGAGTCGTACCACGGCACTGGACTAGTTGCTGTTGCTGCTTAAGCTCATAGTGTTGCGGCAACGACAGGTGAACAACAGGTGTCAAAGTGGCATGTTCCACGCGCCGTTCTGTTTTGTGTAGCGTATGTTGGGGCTGGGAGTCTCCTCTTAGAAATCACAATTTCAGCCTCTTCCTAAAGGACGACTTGGCAAGCATTTTTGGCAAGCCGAATTCCTTTCGCTTGGAGACGGGAAAAATTGTTATCCAAGATTTACAGATGGCGGATGCGTCGCGCCACACCGATGGCGGGATCTGCGACGGTCCGCGCCGTCCACAATCCTGCCGCTCGGTGCTTGCCATTTTCCACTCCAAAACATATTTTGAACTGAAAGCGTTCCTTTGTTATCGCGCCTCTCAATCTCCTCTTGTGGGGTCTGGCGGGGCCCGCCGCGGCTCCTTCCTGTTCACTCTGCGAAATGGATGTCCGCGCAAATAACGCCGACCGTGCGGGCTGCGTACCGCCTCTGGCACGCGGGCCCGGCCGCCGCTGGGTTCGACCGATTCGCGGCGGCCCGGCCTCGCCTCTCGCCCGCCCTCGTACTGCCTCTGGCACGGTTATTCATGAGGGGCAGGATGAGCGGCAAGGGGAGGCTTACGAGGGATTGGAAGCGAGATGGCAGCGGGGAAAGAGAGCAACGCGAGGCTGAGAACGGGGCGGAATCAGAGGACGGTGGCGACGCGAGGCTGAGCGCCGGATAGAGAAAGCACTGCGAAGGAAAGGGTGTTGCCATTTCGTCTCGAGGGAGAGTGGGGTTGAGATGCCGGAAGTCTGCTGGATATGAGGAGTGTGAGCGCACGTACGGGTTCCCCTGACAGAGATGGAATGGAAAGGAGCTGTTCAATACCAATAGCTAGCAAGGTTTAAAGAGTCAATCGAAGGCTAGAAATGTAGTGGAAAAGGACTTCGTAGAATTGGTTAAGAACTGAAGAGACTGAAACTGTCGGGGGTCGCCAACCGTCGGAGCCCGAGGCCTCAAGGAAAAGAGGAGGGGCGGGAGGGGGCAGCAAATCCACCTGAGCCGGGGCACGGACCGTGACGGACGTTCGGCCCAGAAGACGGGGCGACACCGCCGGGCCTGCTGTCGCAGGCGCCTGAGAGCGCTGTGCCGTATTTCAGTACGGCGGCGGTCAGTACGGCGGCGCTGTGGGTCAGCGTGCCGGCGGACCGCAGTACTCGCAGTACCCGGTACAGCAGCCGCTGCCCTCCCAGTTCCCCCCGAACCAGGTCAGTACCCGTCTGGGCCCGTACGTCCATAAATAAAGGCATGGGCGGTTACGGAACGTTGAAGTGTTTTTTTTCTTCTTTTTTGGTGGTGAAGTAATGTTTGATAATAATAATAATACATATCTCTACAAATATTTACGATAATAAATCCTTGTAATGATAAATCCTAATAATAACAAATCCTAATAATAACAAATCCTATAATGATGACAAATAAATAATGAATCCTAATGCAAGTAACCCTTGAGATGTGTGGTGGCTCTAGTTGTGTTGATACCTTTGCAATGTGTGCTCCTACGATGACATAGACGCGTCTGATCTGCTCCCCAGTCCCCGAAATAGTCATCTGATGTAGCCGTGTCGTTTTCAGGGCGTGCTACGGCCGGGCTTGAGGCCCACCTCTCCGTACGCCGGCCAGCTGCCGTTCGGCCAGACCGCCCAGTACGGCGGCGGCGGCGGCGGCGGCGCTGGGGGCGGCGCTGGGGGCGGCTCCTTCGCCTGTGCTCCCCTCGACGGCGCCGCCGCCAGCCCTATGAACATGCCGAACGGCGCGGCCGGCATGAACATGAACATGAACGGCATGAGTGGCATGAACTCTATGAGTGCGATGTCGGGTGGCGCTGGCGGCATGGGCATGGGCGGCCCAGGAGTGCACCAGCAGCATCAGCATCAGCAGCAGCTCCAGCAGCAGCAGCTCCACCAGCAGCAGCTTCAACAGCAGCAACACCAACAGCAGCAGCAACAGGGAATGTCGCGGTGAGTTCCGACTCTGCAACCTTGTTGCCATGGCGAGGCTGCTTCGCGCTGGCGCTAAAAAGACGACTGTAAATCGATGCAGCCGTACCACGCTCTCCAACAAAACCCATTGTTGAGCGCTGATAGTGGGCATCATCATGACCTCCGCAGTGACTCTTACAGTGACCGCATCATGACCTCCGCAGTGACTCTTTACAGTGACCGCATCATGACCTCCGCAGTGACTCTTTACAGTGACCGCATCATGACCTCCGCAGTGACTCTTACAGTGACCGCATCATGACCTCCGCAGTGACTCTTTACAGTGACCGCATCATGACCTCCGCAATGACTCTGTACAGTGACCGCAGCGACTCTTTACGGTAGGAATGTCAGGAGGTGCGCTTGCACTGCGCGCTCCCCACGGGCACACGGGCCGGCGTCGTGGCTGCGTTTTACGGCGCCTGTTTTCGGCCGATCCGGTGTCGTAAACGTGCCACGGTGGGTAGACGTGTGTCCACTTAGCGCCGAGTGGGCGTCGTAAACCTGTAATTGATGGGATCAGCATTTGGTTACTGGCTCGTCGCGTCGCTCAGTGTTCGTGACGATTGGTATTCACCCGGCGTGGCTGTTACATTATCGCTAGCCTGTAGTGGGATCGTGATGATGTTTTTGGTGTTCTGGACGGGAGACCGGGTGCTACGTATTCATCACCATTGCGAATAGTGTTTCACGGTATTTCCCGTTGCTGCTCGATCACTATTCCAGTCCGTTGTTGTATAGAGCCGCTGTACAGCGCAACCAGATCGTGTTTGACGCTCCTTGGAGGAAGAAGTATGGTCTTGTTTATTACTCTAAAAAGCGAGATGCGCGTTACTACGATACAGAACATGGGGTGTGAAGGAAACAGGCCATGTGGTAAAGACTGGCCAGGACAGGTCCACTAAATCAGAGCCAAAGGTGCAAAGACCACACCGTGTCTGAAGGCGGCTAGTATATATATGCATACTTATATACATATTTATGTATTTTTAAAGTATATGTCTATGTATATATATATATATATATATATATATATATATATATATATATATATATATATATATATATGTATTACAAGCCAGGGGCTACCCCACGCATTCTATGCTGGGGAGGGAGCATACGTTACCAGGGGGCCTCCTGGGCGGAATAGGGCCTCCCCACTGGGGGCCGCCAAATCCGGCAAAGGGTCTCATTAGCCAGAAGCAAGATATCCTCACCGGGAGCAATGACGTTCTGGCGCATGCGGGGGCACCATGGTATGAAGCGTGCCTCCTAGTTCAGAACAGGAGACTCCTGGTTTATGACGGGACTTCCGAGCCAGGAAAGGGGCCTCCTTTATTTAAGATAAGACTTCCTGATAAAAATGGCCCTCTGCATGCAGAAAAGGATCTTCAGGGACCCCATTTAGAACTTCGTAGCTCCGCTGATGATGACCTCCTTCATCCGAACTTTGGTAAGATATGTGTGGCTACAAAACCTTCAGTTTGGGCGAAAGGGGCCTCCCAAAATTTTCAAGAGGTAAAAGCATACTTTTGTCATCCCCGTCTGCAGGAAACCTTTCCGTGCATCACTATTTTATCAGCGCGGGGGTGGGTTCAGATATACGCAACAAGCTTTGTTAGCAGATTTCCGAAGTCCAAAACATGACTCGGATGTCCTTATTTTAGAGCTATTAAACCTTTAGGTACGGAGGTATCTAACGTCTAGGAGGTATCTCACGTCTATTGATATTAAACCTCCATGACAGGTGGGTGAACCTCCCTCCCACCTGTTACTGGACACTTGTGTTAAATGCTGCAAAATGGTTCACAGAAGTATCTGGGGATGTGTTGACCGAGCCCGTTCATTTTTTCATGTTAATTGTTTTAAGGTAGAGATTGGAGCTTTCAGTTGGATGGTTTTCGGGGATCAGCGTCCGCGCAGTAGCGTTTGCCATGTGAGCTCGAATCCCTCCAACCGATGTGATCAGCGCCCGCGCAATAGTGTTTGCCGTGTGAGCTCGAACCCCACCATCCGATGGGATCAGCGTCCGCGCAGTAGTGTTTGCCGTGTGAGCTTGAACCCCACCATCCGATCGCGAAACTCGGCGAGCGCCAAAATGTTGCGGCAAAGGCTCCATTAAGCTGGGCACAATCCGTCCTGCCCTCTACAGTCACCTGATCTTTGAGTGCGGTTGCTGCCACCGTCCGCATGCCATCCCAGTCGTGGGCAGAGAGCGAGCGCCTAAACGACACAAACCGCCCGACATGAGGTGAAGTGAGGGCTGGAAGTGCCTGACCCAGCCGCTCTTTTCGACTAAACAACGGGAACGCAGACTTGTTATGTGACTTGAAAGAGCCATTCATATCGCACCGTCCATGTCAGCGACCTCTTTACGTTTAGCCCCCCTTTATTTTTACATGCTCCGAAAGTCCCACATCACACAACGCTCGGGCCTGAGCACGAGAACAGGTCCATCACCAGCCTGGGAAGGACATTAGATGACACAGGAGTTCGTGGTTCGGCTGTCCGTAGCCCCGGTCCGTGTCCGCAGCTCGCCAGTCCCGGCTGCGCAGCACCCGGCACTTCCCGCGCTGCCGGCTGCCTCTGCGCTCGTGCCCGGCCAGCTGCCAATGTAGGTGACTGACGCGGTGTCGCCGCAGCACTGTCGCTTCAGGGCGGGGAGCGCAGACGTGCGTGGCTGGGTAAATGGGCCATGCCCGCGCAGCCGTCAGACATCAACATGGCGTGGGAATGCGTGGTCCGGGTGTGACCCGTGGGCCTCCCGCTTCTGATGAGGACGCAGAGGACATCACCGTATTGCGGCGACGCGTGGGAATAGCTAATGTCCAAGGTGGTTTGTCCGTTTTGATTTGCGGACGTTCCTGCGTGGCCGTGGCCCGTCGCTAGAGCCGTGCGTGACGAGGTACGGGAGCTGGATCGGTGTGTGACCCGTTCCCTCCCCGACGCGTCGTCGCCCGGCACTCAAGGTCGGCGCGTCAGACGCGGGCCGCGCGTGCTCGCGCGCTGCGCGGCGCACGCCTCCCCGTTCGGCGCGGCTGGCGTCGCCTCTGCGCGTGCGACACTCGCCGGCCCGACATTACGGTCGGCCGCGGCCAGATCCGTCGCCGATAGCGTGCGGTCGGCGACGGCCGCCAGCTTCGGCCGTCGGCCGCCGAGCGGCGCCACCGGTCCGGTGGTTCTCCGCGGTGGTTTGGGTCGACACGGGCCGCTGGAGGTGTGGCAACGACGGGACGCGGCCGGGCGCGAGCTCATGTGTTGCGTTGTCCCTGGAACAGCCCCTTCCGTTGTGCGAACGAGATGACTCGGAGCTTGGATTTCCGTGATTTCGCGTGGTTGCTCGAGTTTTATTTGATAATTTCCAACTCCATGAAGACGAAATCTGGAACTTTTTGCCAAACCACGACCTTTCTGCGTAAACAACGGGCTCAGAGACTGGCAACATTTTTTTTTTGTAAATGCAAGCTAACAGTGCCTATGAACTTTTTTCTGAACCATCGCGTATTTGTGATAGTGAGCCACAACTCGCGGGTGACCGAAACACGGGATAACCAATTTACCTTACTGAACAGACGGCGCAAATGTTTCCGTATACCATTGCACCGCACCCCTCCGCCGCACTTTGTTTTCCGATCGCTGCCCCGCGGCGACCGCTAAACTGTCGCCGCCCCTCCCTGCAGTCCGGTGTCTGGCAACGCAATGAACTTTCGCCGCCCCTCCCCGCAGCCCGGTGTCTGGCAACGCAATGAACTTTCGCCGCCCCTCCCCGCAGCCCGGCGTCTGGCAACGCAATGAACTTTCGCCGCCCCTCCCCGCAGCCCGGTGTCTGGCAACGCAATGAACTTTCGCCGCCCCTCCCCGCAGCCCGGTGTCTGGCAACACGATGAACTACCAGCACTCGCCGATCCCTGGCAACCCGACGCCGCCGCTGACGCCGGCCGCCGGGCTACCATATCTGAGTCCCGGGGCGGATGTGAAGCCGAGCCTGATGCACCTCAACAGCACCAGTGAGTGGCGCGCGGGCGGCAGAAGCGACGCGGCTGGCGGCGCGGTACGCGGACGATCGCGTGTATCCTTCGTTACGGGCGCTTGCTCGCCGTGGGTCAGGTGCGGGGACGGCGTCAAGAGCGGGTCCAGGCACGAACCGGGACGTGCCCACCCGAGATTGTCAATGTTGGGAAGGGGGAAATAGTTTGCAACTTTGAAGAAAATGGAATGAAATATGAAGGGTGTCATTTAAATTCGTCATTGTCATTGAAATGTGTATAATGTAATGTATTGTAATGTGTTGTTACAAAATTCCTCAAGAAAAGTTTGCTTTAGAACACTAGGGACAGAAAGAAGAAAAATTCGATGCGCTTTTAAAACCGAGACACTTCACTGGACTTTGCTTCCCCGAAGCCGACCTTGCACTCCCTTCCCCTCCCCCCGCCGGGACGGATTTTCTGGGTCCGCATTTGTTCCGGCTTATGCAAGTCGTCCGTGTTCCAAGGTGCTGTTTTCGTGGTTGTGCTTGAGCTTCCCCCTCATCTGTCACGCGCTGCAGTCGTTCACACTACAAATGCACTCGTCACGGTTGTTTGTGCTTCGAATCATTCAACCCGTCACAGCACCTGGCCCTCTGGCCATCGGTCGTGACAATAGCTTGTTTATCACCGCCCCCACCCCACTTCCCACCGGTCAGAACCACTCCAGCGCGCTCCGAGTGGTTGCCTTGTCTCCTACACCAGCTCACAACTGCGTGCCAAATAATAGCAGCACCAGGCCACGGCCATCACGCCCTTGGCGGCGGTAGCCTTATTCCCTTACGATTATAACGCTCTATAGAGCCGACACTGACATGCAATATGGCGTTCCTGTTGTGCCGCGTTTTTGTGGCAGGCGGCCTCGTGTTGTTGTTCGGCGGTGCAATTGCGGTGGTGACCAACGGTCGACCTTGATTCGTCCGTTGAGAAATTGTGTTCCGAAGCGGGATGAGCCCGTATCTGCCCGGCGCCACCGTGTACCTGGTGACGCGCGTTCTGCTGCGCGTTGCCATGGATACAGTCGATGTTGACGCGCGTTCTGCCGCGCGTTGCCATGGATACAGTCGATGTTGACACGCGTTTTGCCGTGTCGCGCAGAAGACGATGAGCTGCGGCTAACGTTTCCGGTGCGGGACGGTATCGTGTTGCCGCCGTTCCGGCTGGAGCACAACCTGGCTGTCAGCAACCACGAGTTTCCCCTGAAGCCGACGGTGCACCAGACGCTGATGTGGCGGTGAGTTCGCCGACCGACCCGCGGCGGCGACAAGCTGCTTAGTTTGTGTGGTAACAAGCTGCGTAGTTTGTAAACCATTGATGGAATCCATCCAGGGAGCAAAAGAAGCAGACGGGAAATCGACGCATCGCTCGATACTGTCCGCCGGTCGCAAGAAGTCTTTGTGTCAGCTGTGGGACGTTTTTGTTCGGCAGAGTGAGTTGAAGTCGCAGCTACCATGCGACGCTGCTATCCCACATCCTCTCCGCGCTGGCGCCAGATGTCTCTGGCGTCCCATCGACCTCTCCACCCTGACGCTAGATGTCTCTGTCCGGCGGCGGCAGGTCGGACCTGGAGCTACAGCTCAAGTGTTTCCACCACGACGACCGCAACATGGACACCAACTGGCCGGCGTCGGTGCAGGTGTCGGTGAACGCCTATCCACTGAACATCGACCGCGGCGACAACAAGGGCTCGCACCGGCCGCTCAACCTGAAGGAGTTCTGTCAGCCGGGCCGCAACACCATCCAGATCACCGTCACCGCCTGCTGCTGCGTGAGTGAAGCCGGCGTCACAGCCCACGGCTGGCTGGCTGGCTGGCTGGCTGGCTGGCTGGCTGGCTGGCTGGCTGGCTGGCTGGCTGGCTGGCTGGCTGGCTGGATGGATGGCTGGCTGGCTGGCTGGCTGGCTGGCTGGCTGGCTGGCTGACTGACTGACTGACTGACTGACTGACTGACTGACTGACTGACTGACTGACTGACTGACTGACTGACTGACTGACTGACTGACTGACTGGCTGGCTGGCTGGCTGGGCTGGCTGGCTGGCTGGCTGGCTGGCTGGCTGACTGGCTGGCTGGCTCGGATTTCGGCCGCTTTTTCAGCTTCTTATTTTTTAATTGGTAGAATGGCTTCCACCGGAATCGGCCGTCTGATTTTGTTCACATTATTTTAAAAGGTCAATTTTTTGGTATTGAGTTGTTTGTTTGCTGATTATTTGGCTCGTCAAGTTTTTTGGTAAAGCTTGAAGATTTGAGGTCGTTTGTGGTGCCCCTGAAACTTAGTGGTCTTGCAAATGAAGTTACATAAACCCAAAATAGGGATTTTGGTGCCCTTTCACCGCAAGATTTCGATGCGCCTTGGGCTCAAACGAGCCATGGCCCCGTGACCCCGCCTTCGGGATCCGCCGCTGGCCTGACCTCTGCCTGACCCCAGTGACCGGTGCCTGACCCCGGCCGTCTGCTCCGGCAGTCGCACCTGTTCGTGCTGCAGCTGGTGCACCGGCCCAGCGTCCGCAGCGTGCTGCACGGCCTGCTGCGGAAGCGACTGCTGCCGGCCGACCACTGCATCAACAAGATCAAGCGCAACTTCAGCTCGTCGACGCTGAGCGGCGCTGGCGGCGGCGACGGTGACGGCGTCGAGCAGACCGCCATCAAGGCGAGTCAGAGTCGGCCGCGAGAAGTCGGAGTCGGCGGTGAACTGAGATCGGCCGGGAACGTGGGACGGATCGTGGTTTCAGCTGTAGAGGAGGGTCGGTGGGAAGAAAGGGCGGCCATGTACTTGTATTTCATTGTCTGAGCAGGATTTATTTCAAAGTCTGAGCTGGATTTGTGCGTCGGTAAACTCTGCCGTCATAGTCTGAGCTTGGTGTATGCCTTCGGACCGCGCGGGCTGTCAGACTGATGCTCGTTATCGCCCAGCTATAATCCTAGTCTGCTGCCATGATTGCAAAGTATATTCGACCACTTGCAACAATTCATGCACTTTGAAATCACTTCCATTTAGGAAATTGTTCAGTGCATTAGCGAGAAACGTTATTCACATAGATCAGAGGGTAGTATTGGCCTTATTCCTCAGAGAAAAACCAGGAGAATGGAGACATGCTTGGGTTCTTACTTTATCTCCATTCTCCTTGTGTTTCTCCGAAGAATAAGGCTAATACTACCGTCTTATCACTTGCATTTCATAACACTACGAAGTAACATTTATAATCACGACGTACTAAGCAGCATTGGCGTTTGCGGATGGGTCCAAGTCGGTTACCGACGACGGCTCAGGCTAATGCCCATTTCCTCCGAAGCCCGTGCTTGTTGCCCCGCACGCTCACGCCGCACGTGTCTGGTCTGCAGATCTCGCTGAAATGCTCCATCACGTACAAACGGATCACGCTGCCGGCCAGGGGCCACGACTGCAAGCACGTGCAGTGCTTCGACCTCGAGTCCTACCTGCAGATGAACTGCGAACGGGGCGCCTGGCGCTGTCCCGTCTGCAGGTGAGATGTTATGACGTCAAAGTGACGTAGCTCGTACCTGTGGACGAGTGATGGATGTGGGACTGTCCCGTCTGCAGGTGAGGCCTAATGACGTGATAGTGACGTAACTGGTCGTACTTGCGGACAAATGGTGAACGTGGCGCTGTCTCGTCCGCGGACGAGTGCTCTGACGTCATTTTGACGGCGCTAGGGTCGTCACCGCCTCGGCCCTACATTTCCATGCGTGCCATGACCTGCGACTTGAACTGACCTTTGACCGGACCTGGCCTTTGGGTTTACTCTAAATGTACGCTGTGACCTGGGGCAAGACGGCGCTGCGGTAGGGCTTGATGGTGTACCAGTACGCCTGACCTGACCTGATCTGACCTGACCTGACCTGACCTGACCTGGCCTGACCTGATCTGACTGATCTGACCTGACCTGGCCTGTTCTATAATGTGCAGCAAGCCGGCGCCACTGGAGGGGCTTGAGGTGGACCAGTACATCTGGGGCATCCTGAACTCGCTGCAGAACTCGGACGTCGACGAGGTCACCATCGACGCCTCCGCCAGCTGGCGGGCCAGCAACGGCGCCACCGTCAAAAAGGTCGGACACCCCTGCGGCGAGCGAGCGCGCCAGGGCCGGCCACCCCTGCGGTGCCCGTGCCCTGGGATGGCTCAGGCGTCGCCCACGCTGGCGGGATGGGGCTCGTTCGGAAGCGCGGGAGCGCGTTCGACTTATAACGGCTCTGCGGACGTGTGGCGTTCTGTAGACGATGCGGATGATTAGTTGATCACGATTTTCACCTTTTCCATTGGTAGTCCGGTCTCGGCACTTCACGACCTTCCAGGAGCGGTGTCTTGATGCTGCCGACCGTCCTTTGCAGTGATTACCGAGAGTTATGTCACCCAGTGAGCAGGCACTGGTCGTTGCCGGAAGAAGAATGTCTTAAGCAGGCCGCCAGTGGTTTTGTTTCTGCTCGTCCCTCCCCCTTCCCACTCAGCGAGCGCTGACACGTGCGGTGGTCGTCCACAGGAGGAGGATACCCTGTCGGAAGGCATGAGCCAGTGCAACAAGCAGCGGCTCAAGGCCATGAGTCCGGCCTCCATGCAGATGCCCACCATGTCCAGCTGGGAGGGGGCGCAGAGCATGTCCCCCTACTGTCCGCCGGACATGACCAGTGAGTGCCTCGGTGTCCAGCTGGGAGGGGCGCAGGGCATGTCCCCCTACTGTCCGCCGGACATGACCAGTGAGTGCCTCGGTGTCCAGCTGGGAGAGGGCGCAGAGCATGTTCCACTGGGCGCAGAGCGTAATATCTACGGGACATATCAGTGAGTGCGTGGTGTCAGCCTCCGGTGCCGATCATAGTGGATTACAAGTTGCAAGTTACAAGTTGCACCAGCACCGTTTTGCAACGTAAGACCCTCTTTCTGTCATCCCATTGTCATTGCTTTCAGACCGGTCGTCGTGTATTGCGGAGCGTGTCGTTAACCGTGTCGTTACAGCACTCTTACTCCCGAATGTGCGACTGCGGCAGGCATCAACAACGGCTCAATGATGCCGTACTCGGCCGCGGGCGGCGCCACCGGCGGTGTGACGTCATACACGGGCAACGCCGAGCCGGACGGCAGCGCGCTCAGTCAGCTGACGGACTCGGTCCAAAATCTGGACCCCCTCACCGCCATGGAGAAGAGCATGCAGGAAACGGTCAGTCGGCGGCTGATATTGGTTCGGAAGTCTGCGTGCTTCATGACGGTGCCTAATTCTATATTCTGACACTTGTAAATGATGCGTACATACCTTCCATGAGCGGCATGCGCATTTGACCTTTGTACAGCTTCGTAGCTTTGGTCAATGTTACACGGTCGCTGCGAAACGCAAGCAGGAACTTCAATCAATGGCTGTGGAACCTATGTGAAGGTGGGAAGCGAACAGGATTGTTACCTTATTTGTTTCGTGCACCGCCATAGAGTTAAAGTTAAATGTTGCTGGGAGTTGGAGGCGTTAGTTACCGCCCCCTCCCTTTTGTCCCCAATAGTGGGTCGCTCTTGGCTTCGATTGTTCTCTTTCGCCCTCGCGCCCCGTCGCCGACCCGCCCGCGTGCCGGGGCGCGGTAATCTGCGGAAGCTGACGTTCGTGTCCCGTCCGCCAGATGGGCGGCCTGAGCGGCGGCGGCAGCTCGTCGCTGGCGCCGTCGTCATCAGCCGGCCCCGCCGCCAGCCTACCGCTTCCCCAGACGCCGCACACACCGCACACACCGCTCACCCCCGGCTCGTCAGCCGCGCCCTCCTCCAATGGTGAGGCTGCGTCACGCGCTCGCCGCTGATTGGCCTGCGTCGCCGGGAGGGAGGTCCACAATGTAGCGCTGCCAAAACGGACCACCGTAACTTTGGCGTTGGCGTGAGGTGGCCTGATGGGCTAGGGTGCTTTGCATCTTAAGCATCGCCAGGATGATCTTTCCGGGGTGAGGTACCCGTCCTAAGTACTTCGGTACCCAAGGCCTCCTCGCCTTCCCGGACGCTGTCTCAGAGTTTTGGCATCCGAGATCAGCAACTGTCTCTCTCTGTCGTGTCGCGCTGCCTGCCAGCTAGTGGCCGTCAGTGCTGTACATTTATGTTCGTGATGTCTCGTCTCCACGTGCAACGTCGCGATCCCACATTTGACTTCAGACTTGTCACTGTGCGCCCTCCAGGAGGGGGGTCTGTGCGTGACGTCACTTCCATATATGACGTCATTCCTATATTTGATGTCAGGCTCGTCGGTGGTCACGTCGTGCGCGCCGTCCGGCGAGGCGCCGACCAGCAGCGCATCTGGTGGCGGCGAGCCGCAGCTGCCCGACCTCAGCGGTCAGCTGACCTTTGACCCGGCCGACATCGCCGAGGGCGACAGCCAGGGTGGCCCCGAGGCGCTCGACGTAAGTGGATGATGATGGCCGCCCGGGGGGGGGGGGGGGGGGTCGCTGGGTCACGGCACATGGGCTGCAGTACAGGTTACCTGTACAGAGGTAGGAGCGCGGGATCTTGGCACTGGGCCGGGGTTCGGGGTCGGGGTTCTAGTGCGGGGTTGTAAAGCAAGGCCACCGCGCCAAAACCTGTGACCCATGGCACTTAGATCGCAGTTGGATTTGGAAGGTAATAGCAACGCTGGAAAGCCACGAGAAACACCCACCGCCACCGCCATCACGCCGTGGATTCACTGCATGTGGGTAGGAACGGGCGATAGCGGACAGCGCTGACGCATTTGGCGCGCGTGGTTGAGGAGTGAGCGCAACACGTGCTTTGAGAGAGGCAGAAAATTGAGCGTGTTACGTGATCAGAGTGCTTCGGATTTTCTCTCCCTTGGTCTTGAGCACGTGTTCAGAGAAGCTGTTCCTGTTTGTGTCACAGCAGCTGCCCATAACCTCTTCCTATCTGTGCCCACAGCAGCTGTATGCCCGCAGTACAAAACGCTCTGGTCGTGTCCTCAGTAGCTGACCATAACTCCTTTCCCGTTTATATGATAACAGCTGTGCACACTGAACACGACATTGTGGTGATGTCGTCAGTAGCTGACCATAATCCCTTGTCCCATTGCAGCAGCTGTACACGGACAACAGCGTGGACCCCCTGGACCTGCTGTCGTTCCTGGACCCACCCGACCTGGCCACGCCGCCCAGCAGCGGCGGCTCGGCCCAGCAGGCCGCCGCTGGTGCTGGTGACGTCAGCGCCAGCACCAGCGCCACCGCCGAGGAGATCCTCAGTCTGTTCGAGTGAGCAGCCGGCCTGGCGGTCCGTGTTCGAGGCGTAGGTGGCAGACTCTGGCTCGGGGCGTGACTCCGCGGCGGGCGGCGTTGGATTGGTCCGAGTCGCACCGCCTGGCGAGAGAAAGCGTCTCTGGCTTGGGCCGCGCCTCTCGGGCGCAATGTGCAATACGGGGCGCGCCCGACGTGTTCGCACACTGCTGACAACTGCTTGTGATATACAAAGTATGCAGCATGTTCCTTTCCATTGCAGCGACAGTGGTTACGTTTAGTGTACAGACAATGCTGGCGAAAGGAGCGTGTGCGATTTATTTAAATGTTGTGTAGAAATCAAAATACGCGTTAGTAAATAGTCGTCACTGAGCATGTACAAAAGGGGTAGTGAGCGAGAGGGCGCGCGCTATGGATTCTTAGCCACTTTTCTAAGCCTGTCTCTAGCAAGGTCAGACGTGACGAACATTGTCCACTACCAGGCAGCGAAGGCTGGTCAACGAAACACTGCTACGACGCCCCAGCGCGCGGGGCGGGGCGCGCGTGCTGACGGTGGCTTGTCGCACCGCCCGCGCTCTGCTTGATCGGACGTCACCAGTGAGCGAGTCCCTGATTGGTCGGTTTCTGCGCGGGCCGGACGGGGCGACACCTGATTGGTCCGGAGGCGCGCGCTCTGACTGGCCGGCGGCCGCGGGAGCTGTGTCTGTGTGTTATATAGCTTTAACTGAGGCTGGGCTATAACCGTTGCGGACGGCTGCTGGCGGGCGCCCTCTGTCCCCCGTGGCCACGGGCGTCCAGCCTGGCGCACCAGCCAGCCGCCAGCCGCTCCCAAGTCTGAGCAGTTGCTGGGCGATGGCTGCCGACGCCATCGGCGGGGACACCATCGGCGGGGGGCTGTGGTCCAGGGGGTGGTTCTTCAGAGCAGGACTGCGTTGGTCTGGGCTAGGGGCCGAGCCACTGCGTGTCTGCACGCCCTGCTTGGTTACGCGGCGGCCGAAATCCGCTGGGTCCTGGCCCTGGTGTCGGCACCGGTCCCGGTCCCGGTCTTCAGGACCCCGGTCCCTCTTGGCACCTGGTGGTCTAGCAGGGACAGGGGGCGCTACCAGCACCGTCCGTCCCACATGGCTTATTTTCACTACCATCGTAGGCAGCTAGTGACCTTTGCGTAGAGCGCTGGTTGGGTCGACGGCGGTGCGGGAACTGTGACGTCACTGGGGGAGGGAAGGGGAGGGGTACGGCAGGGAGCACGCCGCAACAGACACGGTAGCCGGCAGTGGAGGAGCACACGTTAGCTCTGTGTTCCTGCGCCCGTGTTCTGCAGGAGGGGTGCGAGTCCAAACGCGGCACGTTGGCAGCGATGGACCAATCTGGCAGCTTTCCATCGTTCCTCCAATCATGTCCCAGCTCTGACGTTTTGGCCTATCGCAATTCGCGATCTCAGAAGGCGGAAAACTGCTCGGCTGGTCGGTCGCTGCGCGCGCACGCTGCGTCTGATGACGTCATAGTTCACTGCGGAGCCCGCGGCCAATCACATCACAGTGTTTCATTGCCGATAGTGAATGAATACATTTACCCATGTGCATGACACACGCGTTTGTGCACATCCAGAGGTGCACTGGTGAACCGGAAGAAGGATGCGATCGATGTTCACAATGTCTGAGTGAATGGCTTTGGTCTGGCAAACCAAATGTCCCAATTGTCATGGAAATAGGTGGAAATGTCTCTCCAGGATGAGGCGCAGGCCCAGAACAATTGCACAACAGCGGAACGTTACCACTTACACACATTGCTCGTTAGTTCATGGTGCCATAACTTGTCGCATTGCGTTGCGTTGATTGGCGGATTTCGGTGACTGCGTTGCGTTGATTGGCCCATTCCTTCGTCGCATTCCGTCGCGCTGCCAACGCATTCCGGCAGCTGTATCATACAAGTCGCGATGATATGAAAGGGTCCAGCGACTTCATTGTCACCTCCGCGTTCCTAAGCGTCCCAAACAAAGACGCGGTTGTATGACGAGTGTCCACTATATGTATTCCATGTATTATCTGTTGCACACATTATGTCCCTCGACAGCCAGGGCGCAGACGAACATATTAAAACCGCTTGTCAGATGTCACGTCGCATACAAAAGATCCCGACCACAGTCTACGTCGCCTCAGTACACTAACGGAGTCGTCTGACGACCAGCTGACCACATCATGCCTCTGGCGGGACCGGCCGCGACCGACAGGGGTTCTCAAACCTCAGGCATCCTCCGACCAGCACCAACGGCCGGGCGGACCCCGGCCGACCCGAGGTCGACCCGAGGCCGACCTGAGGCCGACGGGTGGGTGGGGACAGAGGGTCACGATGAGCGACGGCGGGGCGTGGAGGGTCGCTGAGGGAGGCGATCAGACAGCCTGAGACAGTATTTGACAGATAATGACAACCTGTCGGAGATGTCTGAGAAAACGATGCATTCCTGGGTGGCCGGAAGGGATTGCAAAAGACGACGGCGATTGTGGAGCAGAGTATAAAATGGCACGGTACGGAGTGTATAGTCTGAATTTTGACCGATCAGTGTGCCAAAAATCAGGGCAAAGTTCGGCGCCAGCCACAACGTAGCCGTATTGTGAGCCCTTTAACCTTGCACTGGATGACGTTAAGTTGACTTCGTGTTTCTCCGATGCTGAGGTAGAGAACCAGATCCTTTTGAAATGAACAGCCAGTTTGCAAGAAACTGGGTTTTTAAGAGCACACGCGGATTTCCAGCAGTTTGGCAACACCACCATTTATGCATACAGAGTACATGCATGTGATTACGCCTTGTTCGGTAGGCTCCGGGTTTCGACATACGCGCTTTGTTAGGGACGCGATTCGCGACGTGAAAATGCCTGGAAAGACCTGTGCATCTCCGCTACGTTTAGCTGTGAGCTTATCTCAAACGTAAGAATGCTTCCGGTCTCCTCTTCGAAGAGCATTTCCAGAGGGGGCAGTGGTCTCAAAGAGCGTCACGACAGAAGAATGGTGGACAACTAAAACCACGTATTAACGGTGTTCAGCACGCGCCACATAACGAACTGTAAACGAGCAAACAACGCACACGACGGCGGTGGCCGGGTGGGCAGACGTAGGTCCGCTTTATAAACATACTTCGGTTATGACGATCGCACATCGGCACCCCGCCGGCGTAGTGTATCTACCACACAGCGCGGGGTATTACACTCAACAGGCCCCTGCCGCCGTACGAGTTCCACTTGCACTACGCTCACTTGCACACTGGCTACCGTCCTTGGCCGGGGCGCGCTTGGGCCGTCACCACTCAGTCCGCTGGTGCTCGGTCCCGATGGCCCCAGGTCAGGGGTCACCCGGCAGCGCCTGGGGCATGTGCGTGCATGCCACAGGTCGTGACCTCTCACCGCCGACGGCATCACGGCGGCAAACGTTCGCAAACCCCGGGGACGCGCGGCCCGCGCCGCCGCCGGCGGTCCATTTGGCAACAATTTGGCAGCGCTGAGTCTGGACGCGTGGTGGGAAGTCGCAGACTCAGAGCACCACGGACGCGTCGTGCTGGAGGCAACAGGACAACAAGAGCGTTGGCATGGCCTCGGAGATTACCAAGCGCAGTACAGTCATGATTTAAAGATGGCCAAATGCAGCAGTGGCGTACCTCACAATCGCACACAGCTCTGCTGCTCTCAAAGAAACGTTCAGTCAAAGGGCAGGAATTAGGAATCAATATTGATCCGCAGCCTGTTTTGCGAGCGCCAACGCTATTCGTGGGTTTATTGGGCAGCGTTTAACGTTAACTTCAGACAGGAATTCGTCGCGTTTATGAACTCTTCACTTGTAGTAACTTCGCCTCCATCACGCTGTTCTTATGCATGCGGTCATCGCACCCACTGGCTTCAGATTTTAAATGCTTGCTAGTCTTAACATCAGTAAACGGCATTAAAAACTTTGTGTTCTTTTTCATTACATTATTGTAAGCACAGGAAAGAGTACACACGGCCACAACTATTGCCACACTTTTTAACGCGTTCTGATTTTGTTATCTTAAGGCTGCCAGGCTGGGGTAAAGTCGTCGGGCCTGGGCGGCCAGTAACTCCATGTAACGCTCAGTGCAGTGCTCGCGGACAATGGAAGACAAAACACCGGGGACAGGACAGGGACAGGACAGGGACGTGTGGTCGAAGGGACCGATAGAACGGGGACGGGACAGGGACGTGGGTCGAAGAGACCGACAGGACAGGGACAGGACAGGGACAGGATAGGGAGGTGTGGTCGTGGGGACCGATAGAACAGGGACAGGACAGGGACGGGTGGTCGAAGGGACCGACAGAACAGGGACAGGACAGGGACGTGTGGTCGAAGGGACAGACAGGACAGGGACAGGGACAGGACAGGGAGGTGTGGTCGAAGGTACCGACAAGTCAGGGACAGCACAGGGGCGTGTGATCGAAGGGTCCGATGGGACAGGGGCAGGACAGGGACGTGCAATCTGAGAGACCGACAGAACAGGGACAGCACAGGGGCGTGTGGTCGAAGATACCGGCAGAACAGGGACAGTACAGGGACATGTGGTCGAAGAGACCGACAGGACAGGGACAGGACAGGGCGTGTGGTCAAAGGGTAACAAGGCGGAAAGCAAGCCACGCATCTCGAACATCGATGGAACCCAATGTAAGTCGACATTTTAAGCCCGACATCTTATGAGCCCGACATCTCACGACCGCCATACGCGGCGATTGCCAGGGAAGCCAAAGCGATCTGTCCACAGGGTCGTCCATGCAAACGCCTCAGTCCCAGGTGACGGTGATGGCGCCCGCTGCCCGCATGCCGGCCCGTCACCTGGAGTTAGTGTCGACGTCTCCTTCCGTGCGAGGTTAGCGTGGTTAGAATCGGAGGTCATCAATGTTATCCACGTGGAGCACATCCGCATAGCCCTGCATCAGATCTAGCGTTGACGCTGGCGCCGCGGTGTCGGACTCCAGCATTGGAAGTGTGTCCTGGGCACGAAAGATGGCGCTCTGAGCTACGCACTACGGGATGATTTTGCCGGGGATGAAATTGTTAAATTGTTGTCTCTACGAAGAAGTGAAAAGAAGGGTAGAGGCAAGAGGCGCGATGATCAGTGATGAAATGCGAACAAATCCCTTTGCAATGGAATTACTGCCTTGGTAGGTGAAGACAGGGGTGAAAACCAAGGCGTCGGTCCGTCCACTCAGGCGCAAAATAAATACGACCAATGACCTTGTAATCACTCCCTGATGATTGGACTTAAGAAAGGAATTTGGGGGGGGGACAGTTGCTGAAAAACGGCCAAAGCGTTGGTTTGCGGTCTATCACTTTCCTGTACTTGTGCACTGGACATTCTGCATTTTTCCGCTAGGCCACTCGGCGACTGTTCTTGCTGACTTTTGAGACCACTGTTTGTAGCCACCACGAATATAACCCGGAGACTCCTTTGTCATTACAATTTAGCTCACAGGATACAGGGTTCCCATCAGCAAAACGGTGCGTTATCCAGGTTTCTCCCCCCCCCCCCCCAAACGCAGCTATATGCCCAAACCGCTTTCAACTGAACACCGTGAAGGGCGTGATCTTCATTGTCCCATGAGTAGGCCTCGATATCTACTCCAGTGAGAGAACACCAGACGTGGCTGTGAACATCGTGTATGGATACTGTTCCGTCGCCTCTCGACAAGTTCTGTTCATGCTATGCTGTGTCATGCTATGCGACAACTACTGTGAACAATTCACAAACCCCTGTGTCAGCTGTGACCAAATAATCAGGATTGGCAGGAATAAACCTGATTGACAGAGGGCTTGAAAGACGAAAACGGGAAAATAACAAGAGGCACGCAGCGAAGAAAACTAAAAGCGCAGGCAAAAAGTATAACCGGGGAAGAGGGATGAAAAACATTAATTCAAATGAGGGGACAACGATACTTCAGTGCCTACCAAAAATTGGCATATTGCCAAAGAACGACATCCCTAGACCAACGCGCAAAAAGATCAGCAAACCAGAAAATCGCTAGATACCTAGAGACAGGTCGGCAGACATCCGCAAATCGCTAGATACCTAGATAACCTAGTCAACTAACGGATAAACTATCCAGTGACTCAGAAAATGGCAGATCAGCAGACACCAGACCACTACATCAACAGAGATGGCGATCAGTACATCACCATATGGGTAGCGAGATGCAGAGTCAAGGTCCCTCCACATCAGAGAGGGCAGCACACTACCCCTGTCAGCCACGCTGCCCGGGCTGCCCGGACTGCCCGCCGCACCCACCTGATGCGCCGGCGGCCGCCAGCCGCAGCCGGGCAGGGGCAGGCCGTCGCTGCCCACCGGGCAGGGGGCGTCCAGGCCGGGCACGCCCTGCTCGCCCTTCAGACCCGGGTCACCCTTCCGGCCGCGCCGACCGGGCGGACCCTGCCGAATCACAGACGGTGACGTCATCAGCGGCGCACGGCGGCGTGTGACGTCACCGGTGGGACATGGCGGCGTGTGACGTCACCGGCGGGACACGGCAGCGTGTGACGTCACCGGTGTGACATGGCGGCGTGTGACGTCACGAGTTGGTACGGCAGCGTGCTTGACGGCACGGATCGAACACGGCAGCGTGTGTGACGTCATGAGTGGGAGGCAGTGCCAGGTGACGCAACAGCCGTGGAACAGCAGTGTGATACGTTGCGAGCAGGTGCGACCGAGTCTGACAACAACGATGGGGTTGACGGAGAAAATGGGTTCAGCGGCGCATCCTCTCAGCAGTGAGTCACCTAATTATCTCAGTAATGGCAGCAATGCCAGCCATGACTACCTCAGGCCCACAAGAAACAGTCAGGAAATCACAACATTGTTCATTTTACTTTCAATTTAAAACAGTTCTGGTTCCAGACTTTTGCTGATCGTATTGCCCAGTGTTGTTACAACACAAGATCGGTGAAAGACACTGACAGGCACTATGCCCAATAGCTTACCAGTTGTCCCCTGTCTCCCTTTTCACCCTGAGAAACAAGCAAGTCAGGTCAAAAATATGCACGGAATAATGACAGCAAATACCAACGCTCGAACAGTAATCATGCGTCATGTCTCGTTGTAGTCAAACGACATGTATATAGCTCCGTTTCAAAATACAACTTAAGTTACAAAAATAGAGGGATTATGGACTGGGTTCCTATAGCTTAGGATCGTCTGCAAATTTATCGGCGTGAATTTCAAATACTTAACTATGAGGCAAATCGAAATAAATTGCGCAATCACGTGATATACATTTGTCGGAATCCGATGCACCACGATTTCACTCATCTACCGGACCGGACTTTACAAAGCTCTTTGCGGGTGCACCATGCCTTCTGGCGCCATAACATTCGGACGAACCAACCATGAGCCAAAGCCGAGCACCAACCAGCCCGACGTGACATTCCGGCAACCAATTCATTCGCACTGCGGGCATGGTGAGGTGTCCGAGCGACACACGCCGTTCCGGAAGCCACCGGCGTTCGATAGCAGAGCTGACATGCACGCAATCCCAGCATAACACAATATCTAGGTACAAATAAATGCGTCGGTTTCAGTGGGTGGGATCATCACATAAAGTGTAGAGATGGGGTTAAGGCTGGGGCATGGAGCTCCTGGGCATGTCCACTAGCAGGCGCGCCGGCCTTCATGCTCATCCGGGCTCCGTCTATAAACACCATTATCTACAACAGAGGACGCGGTGCAACAGAGCGGAATGGCCGTCCAAAGGCACCACTCCGGAGTGGGTCCGCACTCCGGAGTGGGTCCGCACTCCAACCGCCGCTCGGCCGGCTACCTTCAGACCCGGGATCCCGTCGGTCCCCTAGAAAACACGAGCATCGACGCTGCTGAGCGCCGGCCGTCGTCACACAGCTGGGGCTACGTCGCCCAGAGGCAGAGCTACAGTCTGCAGCGCTCTTAAAACAGGACTACAGTCTGCAATGCTCTTAAACAGAACTACAGTCTGCAACGCTCTTAAAATAAAACTACAGTCTGCAGTGTTGCAGACTGTAGTTCTGCAGCGTTGCAGAACTACAGTCTGCAACGCTCGTGGGGACGGGAGCTGGTAGCAAACTTTAACTGAGCGTTTTGCTTAAGACATTGCTTAATTGTAAAATTATCTGATCGAGGAGACCAGATCGTTTCCGGGTCACGTGCTTACAACGGGCAGATTAGGGGCGTGGGCTGAAGTTCTGGTTCATCGGCAGCCGTAGCCAGCAGTGCTAGGACACGGGTGACAGGTCCAGCAGCAATAGGACGCGGATGACAGCCGCACTAGGACGCGGGTGACAGGTCCGGCAGCACTAGGACGCGGATGACAGACAGGCCAAACAGCACTAAGACGCGGGTGACAGGTTCGGCAGCACTAGGTCACTGGTGACAGGTCCGGCAGCATTAGGACGCGGGCGACAGGTCCAGCAGTACTAGGGCGCGGGTGACAGGCCCAGCAGCACTAGGACACGGGTGACAGGTCCCGCAGCACTAGGACGCAGATGACAGACAGGCCAAACAGCACTAGGACGCAGGTGGCAGGTGTGGTGCATTCCTGAGGCGTCAGATTATTGCAACGCTACCGCAGACTATGCAGCGACAATAGTGAAGCAAACATCTGTGACAATCAGAGTTAACACAGCAGACTCGGCAACAACATCGGACAAACCAGCACGCCACACGGTGTCGATACAAGAAGCGCAGCTATGACGAACGCTAATGTACCGAACTGCAGCTGGGATGTTTAGTCGAGTACCAAGTGAGGACGGCACCAGGCTGGTACGGCGGAATCCGGACGCGGACGGACTAACACGTGGCAGGACAGAAGGGGCAGTGCGGCCACTCAGCACTCACCGGAAGCCCGGGGTCTCCCCGCTCTCCCTTCAGGCCCGGCTCGCCCTTGAAGCCCTTGATGCCGTCCAGCCCCGGCAAGCCCTGCGGCCAGCGGTGGGTCAGGTGGCGCGGCAGCGGTGGGTCAGGTGGCGCCACTAGCGGGGGATCAGGTGGCGCCACTAGCGGTGGGCCAGGTGGCGCCACTGACAACGTCGTTGCTGTCACGGAAACACGACACGCGGTACAAAAAGGAGAGATGCGCATCACGAGGAGGATGAGTGTTTATCACGCTGGTGCTTCACAAACTTGGCTTTCGGATGTTTGGTTTTGGGGACATTGTCTCCTCTCGGGGAATGGGAGATGGAAGATCACTGAGTTTGATGGAAGATCACTGAGTTTGATGGAAAATCATCTCTTACTACCGTCAGGTATGAGACTGTGGGAACATGTCAGAGACATTCATACACTCGCCACGGAAAAACGACCAAGACGGCTTGCAAATTTGGAAGCTGGTCCCCCTGAAGCGTGCTGCATGTGCCAAGTGTTGCCAAAGCATAAGCGCTGAATTGCGCTGGGTTGGTGGCAGATACAGATACAGTAGCCTTGCAGGGTGTCTAAACCTGGTCTAAGCCATTCTTTCGGTGAAAAAGAAGAAATTGAAAAGATCTAAAGGTGCGAACTCTACAAATTTACGCATACACATCTATCGTCTACAGATCCCAGTCGGCTTTTCAGCAAGAGGCGGATCTAATTCGACGCTAGCATTTTCAGACCGCACGAACATACCTCCATGTGTACAACGCAGCACCGAAAGGGAGCAGAACTGGCCATGCTCAAAGCGCATCAGCCACTCACAAAACCCGCAACAGCATGTACTCGGGGTCTCTGGCCGTTATTGGAACAAGCGCAGCAGCGTCTCCACCCATGCTACATTGCCTATTCACATGTCCGCTGTACGGAGTCGGTACTGGGGATCGTACTGAGCCCACGTCACTTTAGACTTCACTTCTCCAACGGTGATGCAAGTGGAACGTAACATATCAGCGAGAATTTACATCACGGAATGAATAGTTCACTTGAACTGGCCTCTCCTCAAGGCGGCATAATCAGTGAATGAGCACGGGGAAATCCGCTGGAACACCAGTCGAGCCCTTAGTTTGTTTTTAATGACATCTCACCCGAGCTTAATTCACCACCACAATATTAAACGAGGCCCTTGTACAAGTGAACAATCGCTTCAGCCTAACACGGTGGATAGGGCTCGTATAGCCCCCACCAGCAAGCAGTTCACAAACGCATAACGAAATACCCCCGCCCACACCATCAGTGCTAGCACCATGGACACCGGAACGTACCCGTTGTACCAAGGGTACAGGGAGTACATGGGGTACGTTACCGGTGAGCCGGTGCCTCCCTTGTGTCCAGGTATGCCTCGAACACCCATCGGTCCCTGCGACAGAAGCATGGGCGTGCTGGGTCAGGCATATGTGATGTGAGCTGTATTGTGCATTCCATTATACGGTTATCTGTAAACTCACCGCTAATAGCGTACAGCTAGAGCCGCATCGACAACAAATCGGCTAAACAAAGGAGCCAGAGATATGCAGATGGTGAGTCATTTAGTCCTGTAGGTTTGAGCATGTTACAACGGCTCAGACGTGCTACGGAAGAAGACGTGCAAACCGCGCTTATCGTGAAGAGACATCACCGTATGAAGGCCCTATTAATCACTGACAGCGAACCACTGCTGCCTCAGCAGTATGGCGCCGGTATGGCTCGAGATATGACGGTATGCGGTATGACTTGGCGTGGCATCGGCGGATCGTTAAAACATGAGCGCCGCCTTTTTGGCGCCACCTGACAGCAAAACCAAACAGTAACGTTGCCCAAGGCTCATGAATCTTATGAATTTGAGCATTAGTCACAACCGCTGGTCAGTGGGGCAGCCACGCTGTTTTGAGCAGAAGTGAGCAGCCGTAGCCTGACCTGACCTGAACTGACCTGACCTGACCCGGATTGAGCGGGCTGTCAACACTCACCGGAAGTCCAATTGGGCCGGAGTCACCCTTCTCTCCCTTGCCACCCTGGCGACAGAAGAGAGCCGTAAGTACCGGATGTGGAATGATGTACCAGATGTGGAATGCACAGCATCAGATGTGGAACGACGATCACGGTTGACTATGAAGAACTACTGTCAGTATCAGCTATGAAGAACTGCTCTCGCTGTCCATATTGTCCTCAACGGAGATGTGCTGCTTTCAAGCAGTGAAGATAGCATTGTGATCATGTATTACGAAGTTTGAAGCTTCAACGTTGTAAGTTCCTGAAAACGTTTGCCTCTCGAATAGTTATATCGTGGCACGCTTACAATTCATATGAAACGACAATTCCTCTCAATTTTCCAAAATAAGACTTTCACTAACCCAATCTTAATGCAAGTTGCATCGCAGGTGTCTGTCTAGCAACCTGCGCGTATGGTCCATCAGGCACGGATATTAGAATTCACCGGGGGATGAATGGGGGGGGGGGGGGAGGGGGGGGGGCGAAAGTATGCCAGAAAGCCCTGCAGCCTGAGGGACTGAACGGCTTTGTCTAGGACTTGAAATTCGGTTGTCCTCTCGGACTTATCCCACACTTTGTACACCAGGCATAATGTCAAACCAGTGAGGGTCCCCTTCCCGACCTTTGGAGCTTAGGCGCTTCCAGAAACATTGAGCAAAACTCTTCCATTATTATTACATTTCAAACTCTCACAAGAAGCACTCATACAATTTAATTTCAGCCGCCTTTTGGGCGCCTGAACAGGTCCTTGAGCGTCTATTGCTCAAGACAGGGTGACAGTGTCCCTCATCCCTTCTTCTTTGCCTACACCCCCTTCATCCCTCGTTCACAATTTATACACCAGCATCGCAAACAAGCGGCAGAGAAGGAACGCCCGCATATCACCCGCCACGTCAGCTACCACTGACAAGTGGGACCCAACCACCCCAAAACGTTCCCACTCTATTCCAACACAGAGTTTGCCTACACCCGTCCCTGCTAATGACCGTGAGTTTCATGAAGTCGTTATGTCCCTGCCACTGACCGTCAGTCCCCTACAGCCGCCATGTCCCTGCCGCTGACCGTCAGTCCCCTACAGCCGCCATGTCCCTGCCACTGACCGTCAGTCCCCTAAAGCCGCCATGTCCCTGCCACTGATCGTGAGTCCCCTGGATTCGTCATGTCCCTGCCACTGACCGTCAGTCCCCTAGAGCCGCCATGTCCCTGCCACTGATCGTCACTCCCTTGGAGCCGTCATGTCTCTGCCACTCACCGTCACTCCCCTGGAGCCTCCATGTCCCTGCCACTGACCGTCATTCCCCGGGAGCCGCCATGTCCCTGCCACTGACCGTCACTCCCCTAGAGCCGTCATGTCCCTGCCACTGACCGTGAGTCCCCTGGAGCCGTCGAGACCTCGGCTGCCCTTGATGCCGGGCGGTCCCTGCGGACCGGTGAGACCGCGTGCCCCCGGCGGTCCCGGCGGCCCGGCCACGTACTCCACCAGGCCATGCTCCTGCTTGGCGCCGTTCCGCCGCCGCAGCTTCTTATATTTCTGCCGGGAGGGGGAGAGAAGGGGGAGGGGGGGATGAGCGGAGCAGAAGCCAGCACAGATGCAGCGCGCATGGGAACAAATACACAGACAAAGGACACAGGCGATAATTAAAACGGAGAGATATTTACGCTGGTCATCACTGGATAATGAATTGTGCGAGGCTGTTGCCATAAATAAGTTGTGTTTTTGCAACGATCGATGTGCCCGGGCATACAGTATCGTGTGATCTTCGCTTGTTGCGCGACAAACATGTGTAGCTTTGGTGTGCGACTGTTTGGATGTGTAAACATCATAACCGAAAACTTCCGAAAATAGCCATCCCAAGAACAGGCACATGAGTATGTGATGAGTGTCAAAGGATTTGAAAGCCACAACGCTTCTAACGGGTGGCAATGGCGGTGGCATGACCAGTTGGTGCGAGGAATGATCAGCGGGCGGAATATCGCCGCGATGAACGTTCTCACTCCCATCCCAGTGAGTAACACGCAAAGGAGTTCACAAACAGAGCGGAACGTGCCGCAGGAGACAGAATGTGAAGAGAGTCGGTTGGAGCACGGCTGGACGGATGGAAGAAAGGTCACGGCATGAGATGAGGCGCTGCTTACCGAGTCTCCCTTGGTGCCCTTCTCGCCCGGAGACCCCGGGAGACCCTGAGAACGGGAGAACGCATTGATCAGTGGAGACAAAGGCCAGTCATCAGAGACAGCGACTAGTGAGCGGAGACGACGCATCGCCAGGCAGCGGGAGTCGAAGGGGACAAACACGGGTGGCACTTGGTCTTCAAGAGACATATCGCCGGGGAGACACCTGGTCGTCTCAGGCAAGTAAGAGCCTAGGAGACAGCCAGTTCTTGTGAGCATTACGGAAGGAGACAAGTCATCTTATTCGGCGGGGCCAACTGGGAGTGGTCACCAGAGACAATATACTGCAGACATGGGGTTCAAAACATCCACAGCCAACGAACGGCACGGTGACGCGCTTCAAGCGGGGTTGAAATATGGGGAATTCAACGGGGTGCAGACGTTCACGCATGGGTACGTCGATTCGCTTGATGGTAAGACAACCCACAGAGGGAAGATCGATCCCTTTTTATGCAAATAATATTACACACATTCTTTCCCAGCTTGTTCTCACCGACATTTCATTTCTTTCAAAGACAACAAAAATATCCACTACATCTGTTTTTGCCAACGATCTTTGCCCTTCCTCTCGCCTCTTAACATATCTAACTGCCTCGTTGGCTAGCTCGGATCACGTTACAAAGCCAAACAGAACAGGGCGGAGATCCGGGCCGGCTCGTAGAGGGCACCGAGCCGGTGACTTCGGCGCGCCGACAACACAGCCATCAGCCATAAGCCTCCAGACGCAATATCAGCTGAAGCCGAACAGGCCCAATCCGAGCCGGCACAAAGGCTCGCCAGATTCAACCAATCAAAACGGATGGCAAGCCGATCCCGCAGGAATCGAAGTCGTCCCGGAAATGGTCGGCCGGGACGTTGGGAGCCGACTTGGACCGTCTACGACTATAGGTGTTAACATGCATCGATATGTCTCTAGACGGCGCGTGCTACGGCGCCTGGTTATGCCTCGCGCCGGCGGAGCAGCAGCCGCTCCCACAAATGCGTTCTGAGACGAATGTGATATGTTTGGGGTGTCCTGGAACACCATGCATGAATATGCAGCCTCGCTGGGTTGTTTCAGTGTAAGATATTCATTGTTGCAAGTAGCTTGAACTTGTAAACAGACATGTCTAGGCATTCAAACCAGCAGGAGGTTTGTATGTGAACTTGGGTGTCACATATGGGTGGGTGTCACACATGGGTAAACAGGGTGTCAAAATGTGAGGTCCATAGGAACCTTCGGGCCGTGATGTCCATCTGAGACAAGCGGCAGATATTATTCAAAGAAAACGCAAAATCAGTCAACCATCAACACGAGAACAGAGAGCAAAGCTTTGCATAAGGCATCACGTTTCCACGCAGCGCGTGTTTGGAGAATTTGTCGCTGAGACGTCCAAATGGCCCCGGGCGATTTCCATTTCCGTCTTGTGACTAAGAGCGCGCTGGTCCAGGTGGTCCAGGCGGTTTGGGTGGTTCGGGTGGTCCCATCAGACACTTACCAGCGGTCCAGGTGGGCCAGGTGGTCCCATCATAACTCACCGGCCGTGCGACCCGGGTGGTCCTATCAGATATGCACCGGCGGTCCGGGTAGTCCCATCTTAACTCACCGGGGTCCCGGTGGCCCGGGTGGTCCCATCAAACACTCACCGGCGGTCCAAGCGGTCCCATCACTCACCGGCGGTCCGGGCAGGCCGGGTGGTCCCATCAGACCGGGTGGTCCCATGTCTCCGACTTCTCCGCGGTCTCCTTTGGGTCCACCAATACCCTGCGCGCGTCAGAGACATTAAAACACATTCGTCAAGCACCATGGAGAATGCAGATAGCGGCTCTCAAACGCAGGACAGACAAAACGCCCTGACGATAATAAACAGTGCTGTTCAGTCGAAGACTTCACGCAAGTCAACTGTCACAAATCGTTTCAGATTCCACACACACACACAGAAAGCTCTAGCTGCAGTCAGATTTCCTAAAAATGATTAAGGGTAATGAGAACCGCGTTCCTCATAAATGAGGCAATGAGTGATCCTCTGGGGCTTTATGTATTACCAGCTCAAATGCTTCCGTTGCGTATAATTATAGATGAGCCACACGACTAACAATGCATCCTACCATTTCATTCTTGAATTCACAAAACCACTCTCCAGAGTTTCAAAAAGCCAACTGCTATCCCCGTTTGCAAACAGATCAACCAGCAACGCGCGCTATCCACGAGCGGTGACCACATGCACAGCCCACGCACGGGAAGTCCAGGTGGTCCATGTGGTCCGGTCTCTCCATCCAGTCCGTCCCGTCCGGTGGGACCGACCGGTCCCCTCTCTCCCGGCAGGCCCGGCAGACCCATGTCGCCCATCCCACCTGCCGGACAGAGACGCGGTCAGGACGACGGCCGGGAGGCTGGCGTGGGGAGCGCTGATTTGGGGTTTAGAGCGCGTCGACTGCTTGATGACACAGCGCCCATCGCACCCCAAATTATGTCGCAAGAGGAAGGAAGAACACGGCAGTAGCATTTAGGTCGCAGACTGACCTGCAACAAGTTGGAGAAGGACACCGATGTTGACAATGCAGGATAACTTACTTCATGTTAATAATACTTCATTACTAATTCTACTTCAAGCCGTCACGAAAATCCCTGCTCTCTGGAGAAGCCATGTGCTATGTGTCTTTTCTATGTGTCTGGGACGTGCCTCCACGTGCTATGTAATATGTGCCATGTCTATATGCCTCTATATGTCTGTATGTGCTATGCGCTAGGTGTCTCTTCTATGTGTCCTCTCTGCTATGTGTTTGAGAAGGCACACAACAGTGAGGCATATCTCTCAACATGCGAACTAACATTCGATAGGCCATCTCTCACCATACGAACCAATGTCCAATCAGCCGTCTCCCACCATACGAACAAATAACCAATGCATCGTCTCCCGATATATGAACCAAAATCCAGTAAGTCATCTCTCGCCCTACGAACCAATATCCAATAAGCCATCTCCCACCATATGAACCAATATCCAATAAGCTATCTCCCAGCATGTGAACCAATATCCAATAAGCCATCTCCCACTATATGAACCAATATCCGATAAGCCCCCTCCCCTCATACCGCCACTCACCCTTCTCTCCCTTGAAGCCGTGCTCTCCCTTCTGACCCTCCGGGCCCGGCTTGCCCGGTCGGCCAATCATCGCAGCGCGACCGTTCTTCCCCTGAGGGAACAGTCAAGGTCATAGGAAGGTCGACAACAAGTATAAAATGTCAACGCGCTGCGTTGCGTTCACACAGGCTGCTGATTACTTTACTGGTATTGCGTAGCTACTAGTTGTTGTACTGATGAATTGAGAAGCGTTAGATAGCGTTGGTTAGGAGTATAGAAGAAATGCCATTCACAGCGATTTACTGGCGTATGTGACATGTAGTCACTGATAAAGTTCAATATTTCGTGTTACTTGATGTCAAATACAAAGAAGATTAGGGCCATCAGAACAGTAAATTAGAAAGCATGAGGCAGGCAGAGGAGTGGATCAGAATAATAAGAGCGACACAAGTCCCTCAATCAGCTGGCGAGGGCAAATATAGAACAGCTGGTGCAAAAGAAAACTTAAGTGCATTGATGCACTCATCACTATGGCATCAATATTGCTCTCATTTTGAAAACAAGTCCCAGCCAATGAAAACACGACTCGAGCCGCCGGGTGTCTGACGTCACCTACCGTTGTGTGACGTCACGGACGGACAACAGCGAGAGACGGCGAAGTGACAACAGCGAGAGACGGAAGACGAACAGAGCAGCCACCACCCAGCTAGAGGTCAGAGGTCAGTCGAACGAGGACAGTTAGGTCGCCGTGGGGACACCGCATCAGACCGAGGGTTTCGAACAAGTCTTGGCTTGGCAGCACGAGACGTGGGGGATAATATAATTTGACGCCGGTGATTATGCCAATTCGGGGCCTGCGGTATTGAGAACGCCTGTTCCTTTTTTACGCATTCAATGCACTGGCCGAAAAAAATTACGAATTTACGGCATTTACCATACTTTGACAAGTTATCCGCTATTTGAAACAACGCCAGAGAAATGTTACTCGGGAGCCAGGTGCTAGGCGCTTTCCTGTCTCATCGGCGTCAGGTGCGGGCAATTTATTAAATGAGATCTGCTCAACGATCACTTATAGTAGATTTGATTAACTACAGTGGATCTGATCACTTATAGTGGATTTGATCACTTAGTGGATCCGATCAAATGCAGTGGATCTGATCAAATGCAGTGGATCTCATCACTTGAAGTGGATCTAATAAACTATAGTGGATATGTTCACTTGAAGTAGATCTGATCAACTATAGCGAATCTGATCACTTGCAGTGTATCTGATCAACTATAGCGGATCTGATCACTTGAAGTAGACCTTATGAACTATAGTGGATCTGATCACCTGTGGTGAATCTCATCGACTGCAGTGGATCTGATCACTTGAAGTGGATCTGATCAATAATAATGAATCTGATCCCTTACAGGTGGTGTGCTACCGACCCAAGCGTAATAAAAGGACGGTTCTGTCAGGTGGCGAGGATGTGGTACGAGAAGTGGGTGCAGAAGTGGATGCAGAAGTGGGCGCAGGAGGTGTGACACGGCGCCCAGCGGTCTGTTAGGGCTGCAACAAAATATCCTGGAAGTCAGCTATGGTGTTAGCGATGAGCAAGCGGACGAACACGCGTTAGCACACGGCCACGTGAACACTTAAGCAAAACGGCAGTGGCCACACCGAAACGCGTGAGGCAAAATCACCCGATACCGAAGCAAAACCCTACCAGTGGCCACGCAGTTAGCCAACCGACACCTGGGCCGAGCAGGTCACCTAATCGTACACAAGAATAGCCCAACACAAAACCACATCAGTCTACAAAATCAAAACGGGGATCTGAAGGGTGGAAGTATCTGCCACCAACGCGGGGCGCCACCGAGCCGCGCCAGCTGACTGCGCCGTGCCGAGCGCCACCGCCGCAAGAGCGCCACCACCGCCGCAGGAGCGTCGGCCGCCAGTCGCAGTTTCCGGCGGCGGCGACGGCGTTCGGTCTCAGTGCGGCGCCAGCCGGGGCGGCTCGGTGGCCAGTGCCAGCTTAACCATGCCATGCACGCAGGCAGGTGCGGGGCTTGACGCGGCCGGCGTGCTGCCGCTAGCAAGCCGTGCGGACGCGGTGCCGGCAGGCGGGGTATACAGCGGAGGAGCGCCGAGCCGGAACACGCCGTCGCCGACGCGCGGTGTTCTGGCGGGCTGGCTCGACGGAACACGTAGCCGTTTGACGTGGTCGGCGATGACGCCACCGCTGACGTCACACTCACCCGTTTGCCTCGACGTCCGCGTGGCCCGGGCGATCCCCGCCCGCCGACGGGTCCCGGAGGGCCCACGGGACCCAGGCCGCCTGGTGGGCCGTGTGGGCCCTCGGGGCCTGCCGTGTCAGAGGGCCGGGTCAGGTCAGGCCACAGTGTGACCACGCGCCGTAAACCCGACATCAAGTACAGCTGGCAAGGTGGGAATGCAAGACACGGACATAATGACTTGTGTGATTGCCCTCAAAGACAATGGACGCGTGTCACACATTCCAACAGCAAGCCATTCAGTTCAGTCAACTCACCATGCCGTCCTGATCCTCTCTCCATCCCCCTCCCCTATGGGCCTCTCCACCTGTTTCGCACCTGACCCCGAGCCCACTTGTATCCGCATTCTTCCGTGACCGGGGACAGCAACGCCCACGTCCCTAACCTTTGGCCCAACGAGGCGCCTTACCCCTGCGTCCTTTCAGTGTCGTTTTCCTCTAGTAAACGCGATTCGAAGTATCCCTTTTCCCGGAGGCATTATTCTATACGACGGCTGTGACAACAGCCACCAGAATACTTGTACGCGTCGGCTAGCTGAAGCGAGCCCAAACAGAGTCTGAGGACTCACCGGGAGGACCTGGCGGTCCTTCGATGAAGCCGGTGGGGAAGCTGCTGCCGTCCACGGTCGAGATCAGGCCTCGTTCGCCCTTCTCGCCCTTGCTTCCCTGTGAGCATGGCCACGTACAACATCAGGTCCAGCAGGCTCTCCCCCTCATCACAACTTGCCGACAAGAGCAGCTGTCGGCACTGACGTGAGTCGATTGCGCCAATTCGGCACCGTTGTTCCATAACATGGGAATTTCATCCGTTGAAATCCGGACCAGTTCGAAACACTTCAAACGCAACAAAATATGAAAAGCTCCCTTTTCAGCTGCAGGGCGGCGGCAACTCCCAGCCAAGACAGCCAAGAGAGCATGGAGCCGCGGCACTACACTACAATCGACCTCGGTCCCTGACCCTTCAATCCGACAGAGGATGATTGCTGACCTGCCGTCAGGGATGACCTCAGTAACTGATCTTCCGACACGGGTGAAATGGGTCACGGACTGGTTATTACAGGAGAGCTGGGCTATCACAGGTGAGCTGGGATATTGCGGGTAAAATGGGCTATTGCAGGTGAGCTGGGTTAATGCAGGTAAGCTGGGTTATTGCAGGTAAGCTGGGGCACGCCTTTGACCTTGGAGCTAGGTCACCACTGCTGAGCTGGGCCCCTTTTAACAACAACTTAAACCTTCTACTGTAGTTGGCCTGGGGCGATGTTTGTGTCCCTGCCTGCCGCCCGAGTGGGCTGACACCCTGACCTCCCCGTGCCCGTGAGCCGCCTCACTCACCAGTGCTCCTGGCGGTCCCGGGGGTCCCTCGGGTCCCGGCGGCCCGGCCGGTCCCGGCGGGCCCGGCTCGCTCGGCAGGCCAGGCTTGCCCGGCCCACCCTGGATGCCGCTGATGCCGGGCAGGCCCGTGGGACCCGTGGGTCCCGCCGAGCCCATCGGGCCCGGCTCACCCTTCTCGCCCTGGCAGGTGACGCGCCGGTCAGTGGGGGTCTCGAGTGTGCCGGGATAGCGAGGCTCATCTCACCGAATCACGCACGCCGACAGAGAGCGTTGGCCTCGAATAAGGCTGTTTTCGACGGCATTGTTCGTGTAGTGCAAGAAACCTTTCCATGTGCAAGTTACTCTATGTCCTCCTACACTCGCATGTGGACGCAAAATGTGAAAATTTGGCGGAGTGTGGGGGTCATCTCAAGCCGTTAATCGGTCAAATTAAGAATGTCAGATACGCTGAGACTTTCTCCAATTACTACCCAGCTTAGGGCGCTCAAAGACCTTTCGCAAGGTTTTAGTTCAAAATTGCACCGCAAGGAGCACAACGATACAGCAATGATTACGACGAACAGCCGACAAAAATGTAGAAGCGACGCTCCGTAAAGACCGAATCTTAAACGAGAACAGACTTAAAGCATACATAAAAGACCACTGAGAAAACATCGTCAGATGAGCTCAGTGGAAACACATGACCATAACAGGGCAAATGGCGACGGCAAAGAGTCAAGGCCTCCACATGCAAATCAGCCATCGCATGCGGCTTTCGGTTGCTTACAAACGTAACGGTTATCTGCAGTTCATTTCGGCGTTAAATTTTCCCGGTTTAAATAAAACGGTTATTTCACTTACGCTAACAGAAAAGCAAATCAGCGCGTGTTCGATATGTTATGCTCGGCAATCAATCAGCTGAATTTCATACTCGAACTGGGTGACCCGACAAAAGGGTTCGGTACACAACCTTCCCGTGCAGTAACGTGCAAAAGCATGCTGGTCACCAAGAGCAGGACATGCAGCAGTCGTTGAGGTTCGCCATGGAAGCAGCTAGCGACGCCTGCGAACCCACAACCTGCCAAGCCAAGCGACACGCAACACGCACGGCCGGCGCAGCTCAGCACGTGCGACATAGGCGGCGGTGAAATCGCTCCAACTCTACGGAAGACCAAAGGTGATAGGCACACGGTGGAAAGATAGGGGGGGGGGGCGTTCGTCGGCACCCGGCCGTCCTTGAGGGCAGAATGACTTGGTTGCACAGCGCATGGGCATTTCAAACAGCAGTCGTCGCGTTCCCACATGCAGAATACTCGGGCCGGATCAATGCGATGTCCGGATCATGTCCGGATCATGCCCGGATCAATGCGATCATGTCCGGGTCAATGCGATCAAGAGTGACGCCAAAGAAATGGGACAACGCACAACCGGCGGTGCGCGTGGGCTGATGGTTCCATCGCAAGCATCCCCAACTGAGAAGCACCACCAGCCAGAGCTTCTCGAGACGTGGCTTAACTTGAGTTGGGAGTGGGAGTCGAGCATCGCTTTGTGATTGAGTCGAATGGGTCGACTAGTGACGCGACGACCTGAGTGACATGTGACGTCATATGCGACGCGGAGGTCTGAGCGGAATCTGACGTCATATGCAACGCGGCGGCCTAAGCGGCATCTGACGTCATATGTAACGCGGCGGCCTAAGCGGCATATGACGTCATGTGTGACGCGGCGGCCTGGGCGACATCTGACGTCATATGTGACGCGGCGGCCTGAGCGGCATCTGACGTCATATGTGACGCGGCGGCCTAAGCGGCATCTGACGTCTTATGTGATGCGGCGGCCTGGGCGGCATCTGACGTCATATGTGCATATTTCGAGGCGGTTCAGCTGACTTAATCACAGGGAAAGCCGTCTGTCAGGCAAAGGACCAGCTCGTCGTCAGCTGAACATCCTGAAACCTTGCTCGGAGTTGCACATAAGACAGTGCCCGACAGGGAGAACTTATAGCAAAAGAGAAAAATGGGCAGACAAAACGTGCATTTTCCGCGGTTGTATTTTGCATTAGTCATTGGCGCACGTGCGATGCGTTGGAGTGTAATAAAGTACTCACTTTGAGCATGAGAATATTGTCGGGGTCAAGGTTAAAGCCAAGCTGGGAGAGGCCCTGTAAAAAAGAAGAAAGAAGCAAGGTGTTCTTTCCCAGAACCAGGTGCTCCATTGGACACGAAAGCGGAGCAGCACCGGACGTCCGATGGACACGGACATCCATGGCGTTCAGCTCGAACCGAGGAGAATGCCGCCTTAAATACATAATAAACCAGCACATAATGCGGAATCCTATCACAAAGCCAGCACAAAGGAAGCGTCTGATGTGCAGGCCTGGTACTGTATTTGTCGGGAGCTGGCCCGCACGTCTCAGGGGAGAGTCAATCCCCCCTTCTCATTGCGAGAGCGTCAGGTCAGGTCAGTCTCACTGCGAGAGCGTCAGGTCGTGGATACCGGCCAAACCGGAAGTCAGGCGCCTTTGAGGCAGTGCGTGCTGGGAAAACTCAGCCGCGTCACAGGTCAAGCGGCCGTGGTTTCTATTCTTCCGCTCGGGACGTCTGTGTGTGACGACTCGAGCGCGCGCCGCACTGATCACATGACCATTCAGGCCAAGGGCGCATATTTGTGCAGCGTTGAAGAAACGCCTTTCCAGGCACAGAAAATGTGAGCCCGACTGGCGGCGGACTCGCGGCTCTTCCGAGCATCGCCACAGCGCTCATCTTGGAACTGAGAACTAACGATCTTGTATACTAACGAATATATATAATATGATGTATCATATGTAACTACATTTATGGTAACTATATATATATATATATATATATATATATATATGTATATATATATAAATATATATATATATATATATATATAATATGATGTATCATATGTAACTACATTTATGGTAACTATATATATATATATATATATATATATATATATATATATATATATATATATATATATATATATAGTCGACAGGGCAGTGGTAGGCCAGTCACAGAATAAGCTTGCAAGTGCCCACAGGTTAACGATCATGTTTTCATTTCCGCAAAAGTCTACCTGACGAGGAACAAAGGATGGAACTTGCGAGTACGCAAAAAAAAAAACACCACAGCAGACAAAGAGGTGGCGCCTTCGCCGCAAGCAGAAGACAAGAAGCCACGCTGTCGGAAGACAAACAACACCCAAAGCGGGGCGACGGACAGACGCCAACCGAAACCGAGACACCGAGCGCGCTGCGGGACAGGCGGCAAGAAGATGTCACACAGCAGTCCCAGGCACAGAGAGGCGGCGCGTCATTCCAGGAGAAAAAACAACAGCCACCCCATCGCAAGCCAGAAGAAGGGGCGACGCGCCGCCAGAGAGGGAACACAGGAACAGGGCCTGGCAAGCTAGCAACGGGACACACACGCACACACGCACACACACATATCGCATGAGCTGAGCGGGTCCCACCGCCAGGTGGCAGGCCGACCGCGCGCCAAACAACAAGGAGCAACACCACGGAGCAGGCCGGAAGACAACGAAGCCGCACATCCCAAGCTGGCGACGGACCACAGAGAGGCGCGCACCGCCACCGGAGCACGGGGGCCTGCCGCCGGTCCGCCCGGGGAAGCCGCTGTGGGAGGTCAGCTCACCTTGATGGCCACAATCTCAGCGTAGCCCAGTGTGCCCCCGCGTAAGCTGGTCACAGATCGCTTGATCCCCTGCGAACAGCGGCAGGCGCCTCCAGGACCGGCTCTCAGGGGGACTGGTGACCCGGGACAGGCTCTGGAGGGGACTGTTGACCCGGGACAGGCTTAGATGGGGCGATCGGGGGCAGGCTCTGAGGGAGAATGGTGATTTGGTACCAACTCTGAGGGTAATGGTGAATTGGAATCACCTCAGAGGAGAAGTGGTGACCGGGATCTGACTCTGAAGGGATAACAAGACTCCTGGTGTTTCGTTAATCCGGTCAGGAGATCTCGATGACCTCAAACCAGCTCAGAAGCGAAATCGTGATCAGAGACTGTCACCGTGTGTCAGGTAACCTAGGTAAGGCACTGAGGGGAATAGTGACATGGAACCAGCTTTGAGGGCCTGGTGACTTCAGAACAGCTCTGTGAGCAAGTGCTAACCTCGGACCAGCTCCGATGAACGGGAACTCGCTGCAACCGGTCTAAACACGACCGTGTCTTTGCGTAGCGCCACCGACAGAGCTAAGGCAGTGTTGAAACAAAGATATGCAGATGCTGGTAAGGCCATGTAGGAGGCTGATGATGAATGCGAGGTGATCATTGAACAATATACGGCCAGGAGAAGAGGTAAGGCGAGGTAAATAAAACCGGAACAGGAGCTTGAAGCAAATGGCTCAAAGCTAGGGTTCTGCGTCATCCACAACCCCCCCCCCCCCACCCCCCCCACCCCCACTCCGGCGTGGCTCAGTGCACAAACTGTCGAGTCCGCACTAACCAGTCGACCTAGTTCTGTACCGCCGCGATAATTTTTGACTCTCCTGCTTCGCAGCAGCAGACAGCCCAGCCGACGAAAAGCGGGACAGCCCTTAGCAATCGAAGTAGTAGGAACCATCTGGATGGGCCTCGGGCTGAATAAGGAAAGCCCAAAGCCAAGTCCCTTACAGGGGTGTAGCCCGAATTTTCTTAATGGGATTTAATACTTAAATGGCTCATTGGGCACTCATCAAACGAAAACCGAAGGAACCGTCTGCGGTGCTAACGTAAAATGCGGGACTAACGTGACGCCCCGCCGCTTTCTCTGGTGCACCTCTAGTCCCCCGTGAGGTCTAGAAGGCTGAAGGAACGAACAAGACCCAACGCACTGTACACCACTGGCGTTGTGGGTGCAGCGTCAAAGGAAATGGTGGCGATGGCACGTCCACCATGATCTTGCATGCTACCACGCTTTTTGGCGCAAAGAAACAGACAGCATGACGATCCTGAAACGGGCCTTACCCCTCCCCACACACGCGTTCAAAAAGTTAATAAAGTCGAGCGAACTATTGAGATATAGCCCAAGTCCTTAAAGCAGAAGCTCTGCCCCATTCATGGATAGTATATACAGAAACCTAATGCAGGGTAGGAACACTACATGTACGACCTCTTCCCATGACCTCTCGTCCGCCACGTGTCGATGTCGGGGTGCGAGATTGGCCAGGTGTTTTCCAGGGCGTACCTTCGCTGTGGAGAAGACGTCATAGCCTGGGCTGCCAGGAGGTCCCACGGCGCCACTCTTGCCGGGTTCGCCCTGAGGGGTCAAAGCCATTCCATCAGCCCATCGCGTCCACCCTCGGATGGGCAAAGGACAGGCGTGCGCGTGGGGCGTGGTCAACCAACCTGGCTCCCTCATCTGTGGACTGCGCCGAGGTGTTTTTGCTAAGAGACGTGCACAACTGGCCCATCCGTAAAATGAATATGTTAATAAGTCCAGAAACATTTGAAGCGATTGCCACTCATCACAGTGTTGAAAGCTGCGCCCATGAATCCAGGAAAGAACGGAACGACGTACCGCGCGAGCGAATGAGTTTGGCCACAGAGTGATCATTTGTATAACCCAGAGTACATATTCACGACGCTAGATGGCAGTGCCCCTTACCGGTTCTCCTTTTGGACCGTCCAGCCCAATCGGACCCTGGAACGGAGCAGCCCGTGAATCCCACCTTACCTGACACTGCATCCAGGACACACACAACGCATTCCGACTACAGAAACCAAGGCACTCAGTGCAAACGTCGCCAACAGCTGAGAGCCCAGCGAGGTAGCACTGGTCCAGACAACGGGTACGGGACTGGGCTGATCCCTCGTTCGGGGGATCCCGAGAAAGAACAGCAGAACCGGCGTGTGTTAGGCTGGGCCGCAGTCGCTCGGGGTTTGCTGACAAAAGTGAGATTTCGGAGAAACGGTGAGTGGTCATGGACGAATCACGCCCAATGTGGCGGCAACGGTCAGCCATTCGGGTGCCATGGAGACCGCTATTCGCTCATGCTATTGCACACGTGCCTTGAGGTCCACTGGCCGTTGCCCCTCCCCTCGATAAGGATCGACCAATCAGCATCGAGCTGGATGGCAGTCAGCCCAGCATCTATGCCCCTCAGGCAACGTAAATCGGGCTATGGGTCAGGACTTGACGATTCGGGTAAAAGGGCAACGCATTAGCAGAAAAAATATGGTAGAGGTTGGGACGGCAGAATCACGGAGGTCTAATAGCATGATTAATACTGGTCTCCTTAACACCCAAATGGACGAATTTTGTCACGCTGAGCCCACGTTTTAAGCGCCACTTGGGCTGATTTATGTTTTAGTGCCATTTTGGAAGACCAGAGCAATACAAAATCCAATCTGCTGAAACGTTACCAGGGTCCGCAAGGGCCCATCATCGCTTGTGTTACGCACGATTACCTTTTCCTACCCCTTTCCCTGGGCTCGCAGTGATTATGATGGGATAAAACCCTTCTCCTCTTGGCTGCATTACGTTAAGCGCAAAGTCCCAAAAGGCTGATAACGTAATGTCCGTTTGACCCATAATCAACCTAGAGGTATAACATTAAGATGGGCGCGTCGCTCGTTATGACGGCGAGTCGACTATTCCCAACCTGATGGCTTTAAAACATTTCAAAATAAGAGTCCAGCGTGATTTGCAGCCCCACCTGAGCGTACTGCCGTGGTGCGCTCTCCCCTCTCACCACTCCTTTACCCCTTTGCCACGCTTAGGTTACGCTCCATTAAAACGTCCCTCTTTTTCCATGCCCGAAGTAGAACAGGCCCCAGGTCCCCCCGACCACACTGGTGGCTTCACCTATACGGAGGGAAGAGTGTGCGTTGTGAAGAAGTGCGTCGCTCGCGGGAACTCTAAGATATGCAGAGCCTCTACATATAGAGCGCAGACCACATGCAGTTTGACCTTCATGCTGCATCGTTGCGTTGCAATGTCGTCTGTAGCTCAGGTTCTCATTGACGATGAAATCTAATATATTCAAATTACTTCAGCCATGTTCGAACATCAAATGTAACTTGGTCACGTTCCTTCCTGGCAACGTCACTTCAGATGAACTACACACACACACACTGACGAGCGGCGTCGTGAATCATAATCATACAGTTGAAACAAGCCAAAAGACTCCAGAACATGAGAAGGACATGCTTACAAGTCCAGCAGTCACAGCAAACAGTGTAAATGAATCGCAACGCTGTGGAAGAATCACTGTCAAATGCATGTTAGTGCCGTTCGGTTCGCACAACAGTCCAATCACATCCAATCCCTACCAGCGAGCACTACACCCAATCCCAACCAGCGGGCATTCCATCTCCCAAAAGGCACCAAAATTGCCCAGAGCATGACAGCCAGCACCGTCTTCTCCCACCCGTCATAAGTTAGTGCTGCCACCTGCTGACTTTATCATGCATCATACCAACCAACGGCAGGCGGCGGCAAACCCGGCGTAGGTCGCAAACTGCGATTTCCAGCAGGAATCTTCATTTCCAGCCCCGGACGGCAACTAGCGCGGGAATTAAATTTGAGGACCACTGATGACGGCAGGACCACTCAAAGGATTACTCGTTACGGCAGAACCAATCAAAGGATCACTCGTTACGGCAGGACAGCTACCTTATTTGGTATCGCTCACGTTTAGCGTTTACAGGATAGTGCAAAGTGATTATGTTTGTGAAATGCCGCCGTGCGTGGTGACTGGCTGCCACCTCTCTGCTCACAGTTTTCCGCCGTCAAACGAGACGGATTGATCACCGCAAGCCGAGATCCGAGCTCGGTGAGTGAGAGAGGAGTTCCGAGTTCGGTGAATGAGCGAGGAGTTAAGCGCGCAGCGGTGAACCAGGCCGCAACCGAAGAAGACTTATGCTAGGTTTACACACCGGGAAGCCTGGATACCCTGGAGATCCCTTTCGTCCCTGCAAACGCATTCGATGGGATGAAACGGTGGCTGCGGTGTGTACCGTCGGACGCATACATATACACTCGAACGACCATGGCCGGGTCCAGCACAATGCTGTCAGCCTCGAGTCATCTCGGAGACTCCTGATCACGTAGAAGTACATATCTGACGTATACTAAAATTCAAACACGTCCAAAATGAGCACTGCTTAGATTTCAAAAGCCAAAGAATCCAGTCGTTTTGGGTGACCTTTGAATGCGGCATGGTAACACAGTGCTTGCCTATGTTAAGGGTGTCGATAGTGAAGTGACTACACTGGGCGTCTGGGAAAGCCGGAGTACGGGGTTCGATTCCCCGCGGTACCCACTCCTCCTGCCAGGGAAGACGACGCCGTATAGCCCCAGCAGCTTGGTGCGTCGTTAATACCCACTGACGACGACTCATCTATATCATTGGCGACTGACGGTTGATTTTGCAAGTTGTGTTCACGAAGATTGCTTTCATTATCAAATAATGCTCGGATTTGACCAAATCTGTTGATGCTACCCATGTCTTAATAACCACTCCACCTCCTCTTCCTCCCAGGGATCTCGCCGAGGACCCCCTTCGAAAGCTTACTGATTCCAACACACCGCTACAAATCACCGCTCCGGTCTACGTACACCCTCCTGCTAACACGCACACATACACAGACCCCTTCCCCGCAGGGCACGGGTCAGACCCCGGGCCCGACAGGAGTCCCCGGTCCCCACGCCCAGCCAGTGACCATTACCCCGATCTGCCGCCACACCGGCGGCCGCCAAACGAGGCCATCTCGGCCGTCCGATCCCCGCGGGGACCACCCGGCGCCGCCGAGCCGCCGCCGACAATGCGCCGGTGGCGCCGTCAGCAGTAAACGGCACGGGATGGGCCGACGAGACGGGCCGCTTATGGGATGACCCGGGTTACATTGTGGCACAGGGCCGTCTGAGAGGCGAGTGGCTAACCAGGTGTTCTTTAGCCACCGTTGTGGAACAGGACTAGATGAGAGGCGAGTGGCTAACCAGGTGGTCTTTAGCCACCGTTGTGGTACAGGACTGCCTGAGAGGCGAGTGGCTAACCAGGTGGTCTTTAGCCACCGTTGTAGCGCCCGTGGTCTGGTTTGCAGCCACGTTAAAGCGGCAAGCAATTTGGCGTCGGACCGGCCTGCACGTTAGAGAGGCTAAACTTATTTATGTTGCCTGAACACGAAGCTCCGTCTGTGCTCTGTAGGTAGACACAAGTACATCATATCTTTCTACTTAAGTACCGCATACGGCAATATGTCTCCTTGCGTAACACACTATTTCAAGACCCATAAAAGTCACAAAGAAATCAGAAACAAAAAATTCCACGGAAGCATAGCATCTCCCGAAATGTTACAAAACCCAGTTGCTCGATTTGACCACTCCCTGAACAATGAGATAAATCCTTGACGAAAGCTCGACTCCTACACGAGTACTCTGTCAGCCAGCGTGACAGCAGCTCCCAACATCATCAACATCAGCTCCGCGCCAGTGCCGTTCACCACACCCCGGCGCCCCGATACTCACTGGGAATCCGTTCTGTCCTTTGGGTCCCTGGGGTCCCTGCAAAGACAGGGGGCAGCCGCCGTGAAGCCACAGACAGCGAGCGACAGACCGTGGCCGGAGCGAGCCCGCCCCGTTTGCACTGTGATTCAGACGACTCTCCTCTGGAATTTCGCAGCCAGGATGTAAGTCTGGCTCACCGCTGTCATTTTAGATGGTGAGGAACGTGCGGTATTCATGTGCCAGGAAATCGAGAATTACAAGAAAAGTGCAAAGAAAGCACTGCCGCGACAGGATCGCAACGTGAAGGCTGGCAAATAAAGCGATCAAATCCACGTAATCATACGTGGGGGCCAAAGACTAAGGTCGAACCGCAAGGAAGCTCAGTGTCTTAGCACGGCTTACAAATGCACGAAAACAGCAGTGGAATCGCCGCGTTCCGTCCACTGAAATGCTCATTTTTAGGGACCGAAGAGCGGAGAAAGTGAGCCAGCTACAAAAGCCCTGCGGCGATCGGTTCAGCACTCCGCAGCCAGATCGGTGGAGTCGGCGATCGGTTCAGCACTCCGCAGCCAGATCGGTGGAGTCGGCGATCGGTTCAGCACTCCGCAGCCAGATCGGTGGAGTCGGCGATCGGTTCAGCACTCCGCAGCCAGATCGGTGGAGTCGGCGATCGGTTCAACACTCCACAGCCAGATCGGTGGAGTCGGCGATCGTGCAAACGGGGCGGGGTCGCCCGAACACAGCCAGCTGACGGCGGCGTTAAAAGCGGTTGAACAAACACCTGCAGACGGAGTCATACCCCAGCTACGCCAGTTGTTACTCCCGTAAAGGGTGCAGAAGCTAAGCTAAACACTGAAGGATTGAGCTGGTGGGACAAGGCTCACGAGGGTTGTGGTGATATTGCTCCGTGAACGCAGGATGATGCAGACGGAAAAGAGGAACGGGATGCAGAGGAACGGGACTGAAAATTAGTGAATATCGTTTGGTAGTGATCGGGGAATTGCGATCCAGTAAAGAACTGAAGCTGACAGATTTTTGTTGTGCCGCAGCTCCGTCCAGAATTTTAGTGAAATTCAGTGCTCACATTTGGCACTGAGTCCGGCGTGGCGCCGTGCCGCGGTAACGTCATAGTAACGGGTTTGGTGGGCGACGTTGCCGCCATTTATGCCACCATTTAAAGGGTAAAAACACTAGCAGGCATCATCAAGCACGGTTTGAGCGGTATGAATGCTGCTTTAACAGCGCTTGACGTGACGCCGTTGGCTCTTGAATGGACGTGGTGGCAAAGCCTTTATAAAACGCGAGCATCGTGATTTCATACCGAAATCAAGGGAATTGGAAAACTTGCAGTGAGTAGTGGTAAGAATGCCCCTGACATGGGCTCGTCATGGACAGCGAGTCAAACGATGCAGATCGAGCCGTGACAGTTGGGAGTCGGGACCGGATCGTCAGGAGTCGGGACCGGATCGTCAGGAGTCGGGACCGGATCGTCAGGAGTCGGGATCGTATTGTCAGGAGTCGGAATCGGATCATCAGGAGTCATGATCAGATCGTCAGGAGTCATGCCCAGATCGTCAGGAGTCGGGACCGGATCGTCAGGAGTCGGGACCAGATCATCATGAGTCATTCCCAGATCGTCAGGAGTCGGGATCTGATCGTCAGGAGTCAGGACCAGGTCATCAGGAGTCATGATTATATCGTCAGGAGTCGGGACCGGGTAGTCAGGAGTCATGACCAGATCGTCAGGAGTCGGGACCGGAGCATCCGGAGTCGGGACCGGATCGTCAGGAGTCAGGAGCACATCGTCAGGAGTCAGCAGTCAGGACAGCATCGTGAGAGTCCACGGCATCAGCAGTCACGGATGCTTGGCCGGAGGATGCGGCAGACGAACAAAAAAGCCCCGATCGAGTGATATCCGGGGCCGTTCGGGACCGACCGGGCCGCTGGAACCGCTGAGCGGAATATCAGGTGGCAGGATAGATCGCTGCGGTTGTGGTGATCTACAGGCTGTCGAGTGGCTCTCCGTACACAGATGGTATCACAGCCAACGGCAGTGGAGGGTGGGGACGGGATGTAACGAGACGCAGGCGGCACTGGCGAGACGGCTTCAATAGCGGGCAGCACATGAAAAGCGACACATATTTACAACGGCAATCTGCGGATCTAAAGCCTGCGCCAGCGAGTCTAAGTAGCTGCAAGCGACCCAACAGCCAAACAAGCCACTTAAGTGTCGGGACGATGGCTGTTGGTGACAGCCACGTGGATGATATGTGAGGAAAGGAGCGCGGGCAAGCATAAGCTGGATCTGGCTTATGCTTGTCTGCGGTCTTCACCTCATCGACAGCGTCGTCTAGCCCACGAGGACCGACAGCTGCACAAATACGTGACCGTAAGCATGGCAACAGCGGCGCCAGTACATGGCACCCCGAAACACCAACAGCTGACGTGACGTGGCGCCGCCGTGACGTCACGGTACGATGACGTCACTCCGGATCACAGCAGGGAACTGACCATGGGTCCCATCGGTCCGCGTGGCCCTGGACGTCCATGCCGACCTCTCCGACCTCTGTTGCCCGGTGGTCCTGGGGAGAGAACGACCGCGGTCAGGTCGAGGTCGGCGGCGGTCACAAATTAGCAGAGGTCAACCGGGGTCGGGGTCACAAAGTACGAACTGCTACGCGGTTGCGTGGGTAGCTCAGAAGTTAACAGGTGCACAACAGTGATAACAGGCATGTTGTACGATACTGCGAGTTAACAATGTTACGCAGCGTACAAGTTGCTGCCTAAAATATAATACAATTAAATGTAAATAAATATTTATATAAAAATACAACATAAAATATAAAATGTAAAATACGAAACATAAAATATAAACATAATCTAATAAAAATACATAATTACGCAAAATGCGCAACATGCTCGCGAGCTGGGCCAAGCAAAAATCGCTCATGCGTGACGTCATCACTCCTGATTACGTCGCGTAGTGCCGTGGAGGATAACTGCGTGGAACCACAGCAAACGGCATGGCGAACCCGTGACAAATATTGCCATCCTGCGTGTCTGCCGTGAGCTCAGAGCTCAGAGAGAGCTCAGAGCACAGAGCTCAGAGCACAGAGCTCCACCAGCCATCTACGAACCCCAAACCACGACCGCCTTCACGCGTTCAAACGTGCCAACCTCCTCACAGCGTCCCGCTAAAGCCGCGTTGAACCAATGCGTGTTTGTGGCGCCGCGAACGGCGGACGCGACGCACTAGCCGCGCCGGCGCCACCGAGAAGACCCGGCGCAGCCCAGTAACCGGACACCGCGCGCTGAAGCGCCCGTGCGCCGGGAACGCCGCTGACAGATGCTGCGCGTCCTGGCGCAGATGGAGACGGATGTGGCGCGCTGCTGATTGTTCCGCCCGTGCTGGGCGCGCCCCGGGGGTCGCCAGCTAACTCGGTTAGTCAGGCCGAGCGGAGGCTGGAGGCAAGCGTCTCACAGCGGCGGAGGGTGAAGTCGCGTGTCAGGTGGAGCTGAAGACAGAACCGGACGCCGCTGGGAGACGAGCCAGTACAGCACAGCGGAGCTTGTTATCGGCTCGAACGGCGCCACTCAAAAACAGAGCGGACAATACGCGGCAATTAGTGTTATTCTCCCCCGAGACATTGTCGGCCTCAGCCTTGTTTCATCACGAAGTAGTTAACTCAAATGATTAATTGGTGCATGCAATATGCATGTCACAACGTTAGCACAAAGATGGTGCCAAGCTTTTGTTTGGCGATGACGCAGTTCGAGCTCTGGGCGCTACCAGCATGCGAGCGCCAGCTCAACACTGTCAGACCATGAAGCAACGGCAACGGCAGATCACCGAGTAGCTCTCGCCAGGTCATCATCAGGTCATCATCATCAGTAGCTCTCATGATGATAATTGCAATATCATGGGCAGCTCTATCACCAGGTGGAATCAGCATCAGGACTGTGGCCGTTATCAGGTGACCCTGTGTTTGGGCTTGCCTCACCAACATACCCATTATTATCATCATCATCTGTTCATCATCAGGTGACATTTTCATAGGGACTGCAGCATTATCAGTGGCATCATCAGGCTGGTTCGTCGCCAGGACTGTCCCATAAATGTAAATGTGTGATGAGATCATCATCAGATTGTCAGGTTGTCATGACAGCATCGGCTTCAGTGGCCTCTTCAGATTATCACCAAGTGACTTCGTTTCAAGATTGCATCACCATCCAAGTCGAAGACTGCATCACCGGCATATCACACATAACGTGATCCCATCATCAGGATTGTCACGTCATCAGAAATGCCTCGACACAAAACCACCTTCGGGCGGCCTTATCATCATAACTGTTTCATCCTCAGAGGTACCTCATCACAAGGCCACCTTCGGACGGCCTCATCATATCGGCTATCCCATCGTCAGACGTGCCCCATCATCAGGTACGGACAGGCCCAACAGGGCGTCATCCCACCCCACATCTCTGATCTCCCAGCCTGGCCTGATTACGTGCCGCCCGGGCACACTCAGCATCAGGAGGTTGGGGGGCGCCCCCCCCCCCCCTCTGCAGCAGACCGCTGATTGTCCGTCCGTGCCCTCGGGGCACCCACAAAAACCCTGCACAAGAAGCCCAGGTCAACGAACCGAGGCAGCGGCCGACCCACCAAAAAACTAATTGGTTTTCCGTCAAAAATCTTGCCGTGCTGATCGCTGGTATATAATGAGGGCTGGAAGAAGAACAGATATACGGACGTCTGTCAGGAGCAGGAACACGTGCAGGAACAGAGGCATGGGTAAAGACAAGGGCAGGGACAGGGACAGGGACAGGGAAAGGGAAAAGGAAAAGGAAAAGGACAGGGACAGGGACAGGGACAGGGACAGGGAAAGGGACAGGGAAAGGGACAGGAAAGGGACAGGGACAGGGACAGGGACAGAGACGGGGACAGGGACAGGGACAGAGACAGGGACAGGGACAGGGACATTTACAGGGCTAAGACCACCCGCGTTATGACGCTGTTATGACCCCAGATGTAACGGGTTGAAGGAACACAAGCGATGAGTCATTCCTCGCATTGTAATTTCATTTACTTGGCTATTGCGCCCAGGAGCGTGCATAAGCTTCTGCTTACCACGCGCACTGACTTCAAAGCCAGAACAGACCATCGTCTGCGATGCACACTGGCTGCTGGTTAGCTTAGCAGAACTGTGTCACGGACGATGTGCTTAAGGCTGGCTTTAAAATCAGTGTATTGTAAGTGTTGGTTTATGCTTGTCCCTTGAGATCACTAACCAAACAAAACGTAAGCACGAGTCTAAACTTGAAGCAAACGGACCTCTTCACAAGTTGAGCTTAAGCAAAGCAAGACAAGGGTAAGACAAATAAGTTGTTTCAATTGCTCGGAGCCAACAGTTCAGTGCTCGGAAGCTGGCTTCTCCATCTTCTGGCCGTATAGACTCTGACAGACCCGACTGAATGACGCACCTGGTCCCAAGCACTACACAAACATGTCCGACTTCGCTGCAGTGAACGGGAGGAGAGTCACACCTCAATATGATTGGAATGTGAACACCTCAGTATGATTGGAATGTGATGCAACTTCCAGGACCCCATCGACAGACGTTCAGCCCTTGCATTACCGCGAACACAAGCTTGACAGTCACTTACCAGCCAGCGAAATTCTCGGACCGCTTGTTGGGTTGCTGGTTCCCATTAATATGTGGCTTTAAACAGCTGTAAGACAGGCTGCAGACGGATTTACCGACCGACGTGTAAAAATGGTCTCTTGGCTGGCGAAGGTAGCCGGCCTTTGCTATCTTTGCTTCCAGAAACCATAGTTTTTCGACCACACTTAGCGGTTAGCCTGTTTTTGCTGGTCGCTCGCCAAATGTGCTGTGAGTGTTTCGAGGTGGCTGTGAAATAACACAAATCCTCACTGTTTTGCTGAGGCCGTAGCAAATAGCACCAGGGGATAAGTGCCAGCAATGCTTGTCTCATTACGGCCAGCATTAAATGCCACGAAACACGCAGAAACATTCGAAGGATGCTTAAGGGTTCGCGCGACGACGGATACCGCCTCCACCAATAGCCGGCTGGGTCAGCTGATGACGTCACATGACCTGTGACCGGACTGTGAGCTTGGCCGGCTCCGATTTTTGGACGGGCGTCATGGACACGACGGCAAAATGCGGACAACCCTGAAAGCTTGCCACGAAGAGATCGTGCTCACCCTGGCAAGAGGAGGACTCGTATGTCACTGGCATAGCTTACAGCGTTGCCCCAGCCTGTCTGAGTACGTGCATTAACCCGTGACATTTTTAGTAACCGCGTCAGCGGAGAAACAACGCGGCCCAGCCACGACTGGAGCCACGGTAAAAACCGCAGCAAAACTGCCAGTGCTCTCAGACCAGGCACCAGCGCATCGCAGTTGGCATGCTTTAACTGCTTCTGCGCCCGCCGGCTGCCAAATGTGACGTCACTGGATTCATCTGGCAGCGACGCCGGTCTGGACAAACAGTTGTACGCCGTTGTCGCACTCAGCCGTGTCGTTCCCACCTCATCGCGGACAACAGCCGTCAGCTGGCGGGAGATATGTGGGCGGAGCGGGCTGGCGACGAGGCGAAGCTGGCGCGTCACGGGTGTCGACGCGCCAGACTCGCGCGACGCCAAACGCCGCTGCAAGCGGGATTTCTCCGGTTTTCCAGGCTTTCCAGCTTTCTCGTTTTTTTTCTCTGGTTCGTATTGTCAGGTTTCCACAAGAAAATTTTAAAATTTGCACTTATATTTCCAGCTGATACAGCCATGGCTGAATGCCATGAGGAATCCAGCCACAATCATTTTCCAATCTAATTATATTACACCTGCTGCGCAGGAGAAACGAACCGGGCGCTGGATGCCCCGCGCTCAGGATAAAGGTCTTGTTGCGCTTATGTGACGTTGCGTTTTACTTACGTTGCGTTTTTTTCCAGTGTGTGCCGCACGCTATTTCTCGTTGCACGCTTCCAAAGCAGTTTGCCGCGGTCTACGCGTTCGTCATTCCGGCCGACGCAGAAATAGATAGCGCCCGACGTAACATGTGGAGCGCGATTGATGACGCACAAGATTTATGAAAAATTGATATTAACGACGCGTGAGCTAATGATTTCGGCGTCCATTTCTCAGGGGATCGTAGGAGGGACTGGAGCAAGATGGAGCCAGATTAGCAGCTCAAATAGCGTAGCGAGCTGTAACAGGCAGAGCTGATTGACGACGCTCGCTAACAGCACGATCAGCCAGTGATATCTGTGTCCGTCGACACCTTGTAACGTGACCAGGCGGGTCGTCGATCCTCCAGGTGCAGAGGCGCGCCCAGTAGCGGCCGAGGGCGGGTGTCTGCAGAGGCGCGACCAGGGGACACGGGATATCACGAATGGAAACAAAAATGGAAGAACGTTGCGTCTGGAACCACGTACTGAGCAGGGGCTAACTGCAGCTGAACCAAGGACCTTAGACCTGACACCTCATAGTTTCAGGCCACAGACACAGGATGGGAGGTGGGTCACTTCCGCTGAGCCGACATGTGTTCTCTCGTGACAGATGTCCATGT